GTGGAGCTAACGGATCATTGTCAAAGAAGCAGAAATCATCATCCGTAAGATCGTGGATCGGCAAGCAACTGCCACACACATTGTGAGCCTCCTCAGGCACACAACCTTGATCTCTTGCACCACAATGAGGAATCGTATCTCCTTTTCGAAAGGAAAATTGTCGGTCATGTTGTACCGTTTTCTTGAGCAGCTCATCAATGCTTTGCGCCTGAGGTAGTCTGGCACTTCACCATTGGCTCATCTCAACTCGCTTACCAGTTTCCTCTAGGTGCCAGCCAAGAATATCATCATAGGCAGTCAGAGAGGTGTCTTGTTCTTTCGTAAGATATCCAACAGCCTGACGCCCCTGCCTGCTTTGCATTCAGTGCGTATGTTGCTACGCCGACTCTTCCACAGTACTGTCTGAATTGCTTGATAAATCTGTTGTCAGGAGGTCTCTTGATCCTTGTTGCTTCGTCCTGGTTGTCGTTTTGTATGATTGTGGCCACGGATCCTTCGCTACTGGATTCCTCATCACTGTCAGTTTCATCCGAATCCTCGTCTGTGGCTTTCTGATCCTCGTCCTCCGCATCTACCTCTTCTCTGCCTTCCCCTAATACTGTCACTTTGGTTGCCAATTTGTGCATCGCTGCCTGTTTTCTATCATCCTCCGTCGTCATCCTCATTCTTCGTTCGTCCTCATCCTCATCTTTAGAACCAGTACGATCAACATTCAAAGGGGTCCCATTCCATTGGATCATACTTCCTCTGTCATCTCTTGTGGAATGTCCTGACTGGATTCTTCCTCTTCCTCTCCTGGCTTTGTTGGTGTTGGTGCCCTTGCGGGCCTCCCAGTGTCAGTAGCACCTAGATCTGCAGCCCTTGCCCTGGATTACTCCTTCTTGTTAGCCAGTGTCAATGCCCTAGCACTCTGTTCCGTGCCTCAATACAAGAGTGATAGGCTTGTATGTGACTTGATAGAGCTCTCTGGTCTTAAACCAATCATCACAGTACTCACAACGATACCACACCATTTGTAGATAGGTACAATAAACTGGTAGCTTACAGACGTTACTTTTTAGCATATAGAATGTACTAGACACCGTCAAAAATGTGGCTTCTGAGGTTCCAAATGGACAGTTTCTTGGCTCTGGAGTGGCTCGATCTTATAAAATGAGATTGTACTTAGCAATCCGTAACTCGTCCTGTGTGCATTCTTTATGTAGTTTCCTCCCAAATATCATACAGCATACCTAAGTAACCGAAAGGGCACGACTGGGTTGGCAAGGTCGTGGCTGTATGTTATCATGCATGCTACCTTACAAATCAGGAGCTCGTCGGATCCGGTTGGATGACCTCACCTTCCGAAACTGCTGAATTACTACCAAAGCTTTAACCAGCGACGTCACGATTTTATATGCCAAACACGTGGAATGGTATGGTAGGGGTGCTCCCGTTTTCGCGCTACCTAAAAATGCGCTTCTTAGATGATGAGATCACCCACCCGAAGGAGGCGTTGCCAGCCTCAGTGTCTGCAGCTCCATTGCTGGCTACCAGAAATGGCCATTGCCTCATAAGCGAAAGAGCATCCTGTGGCCCTTGGGTCCATTCCAATTGCTCGAATAAAGATAGCTCCCAGGATTCTAGGGACATGAGAAAGTCGTCAAAAGTGTCCAGACGAGGAGGGGTAGGGCAGACATTCAGGATGTCTGCGTAACCGTTCCCCACAGTAATAGTCTGGCGCTTGTTAAACTTGTTGAGATCCAGCATTCCGGCTGTCTTCATGCCCCTGGTAATCTTGGGATCCAGTGGGACTGCGGTACTTGTGTCATGACTCAGTTGAGAGTAGCTCTCGTTTGAATTCTCCACTCGGTGAATCACTCCAGGTTTCCCTGGAACCTCATTGTAAAAGGCCCAAACCATCTCGTCATTGTCTTGGCACCGCTGGAAAACGAAGCCCTTGTCCACCTGGTAGAAGAACCGGTGCCTCATACGGAGGCGGTCTGCAGAGACTAACCATTGGCCCAAAGGAGTCACGAGCTGCTTTTTCGGTGCAAACAAAGAGAGTGCCTTGCGCCACAAAGTCCAGGTTTTAGAGCACCTTGGTCGTTCCTGGAAGCACTTGTAATTTCTGGTTTCAGGTTGCATTGGGCTTGCCCTGCCCCACCAGTACTCCTTTCTGACAGCTTTGCCATCAGCAGTGACAATGTCTGCCACTGTGACCACTTGGAAAAATAGTCAAACATAGTTGATGCGGGAGATATCTGCTGGACTGAATCCACCATGCTGGCCAACCCAATCCATGATGTAGCTGTCATGCTCCCTCTGTTTGGGCGGGACATGTGCATTGTGCACTTCAATGTTGGCTCCAATAGACTTGAGGAACCTGCGTAGGCAGGCAAAGATGCCCACAGGGAGATGAGCTGTGGATACCACATCCTGTAGAAAGGTGCACCAATTCCACAGTGGAACTGCACCCAAGCTAACGCCACCTCGCTCAGCTCCCCAATATCAATGTTGTCACGGGTTCTCCAGTGCTTGATAAATTGCTGCACTAAGCCGATGCCCTGCTTGTCGGCCAATCGATGCATATCAATGCATCCGTACTTCCATGACCCGTAGCATACTGCCTTGCTGGTGTTCTTGCAGTATCCCATCTTCTGTAGTGCCGCTCTTCTGGGGCCACTCTCCAGACGATCCAGGTCAATGTCCTTGAAAAATGTCGTCTCCAGTGGATAGCACACACTGGAGAGAAAAATGGAACGGTAGAACATGTTTGCCTCCCTCCTGTTGAGGGGGGAGGACTTTAGCACACGTGTGAAAGTGGCACATTTGTTCTTGAGCGCCAGTTTCTGGGCTTTCAGATCTCCACTTGGCCCCTTGTGACATCCAAGAGATTTGTGGTCTTGCCCATTCGCCATCTGCTTGATGGATGTCGAGGTCCCATCTGCTGCTTGAATTGCAAGAGGTGGAGACCACTGGTCACCCTGAATCAGTACAGGCTTCCCCGATTTCTCGAATTCATATCGGAGATGATGGTAGGAGCACTTGCTAGGTTCGAGCTTGCCCCCAGAAGACCAAAGTAGGTCGCTCCACCACTGGGCATCTTTTCCTGCCTTCTGCACCAAGTCTTCAATGCTGGGGATTTCATTGGTGCTGAAGCAATTGGTTCTGGAGTTCGTGTCATCCACGAACCCAGTCATAAACAGCTGTACACTTTTGGAGCCATCCGGGCTTGCAAAAGTTGCCCCATGGGCATGGTCTTCAAAGCAATCAAAAAGAGTGCTGGATATAAACAGCCACAGAGTTGGAGAATTCCCTGCCCCCTGGCCAGAACCGTGACACGGATGGTTAGCACAGTGTGCGACAAAGGTTGTGGACGTCCCCAAGGTCGTCTTGATGTGATACCCCTATAGCTAGCTAACTAGAAGCAGACACCTCTAGTGCTTAGCTAGTGCTTAACTTGTGCTTAGCTAGCTAGAAGCAAATTCCCCCTAGCTAGAAGCAGACACCCCTAGCTAGCTAGAATACTAGTTATATAGCTTTTGCTGGCTTTAGAGTTTTTCCTGGTAGAAGCAGATCCCCCTACTAGGATGGATGTAAATTGCTTTAGCTGGTTTGCACCATCCTAGCTAGGATACTTACTTAGTTTTTGCTGACTTATTTGTATTCTAACCCTACCCTTATACCTGCAGGGACCACCGTACCAGGAAAAATAAGCCAGCGGAGCTGTGTAACCTCGGCAGAAAGGTTTCAGTGTAGCAGCAGATACCCCTATTAGCTAGCTAGCTAGAAGCAGATACCTGTAGTGCTTAGCTAGTGCTTAACTTGCGCTTAGCTAGCTAGAAGCAGATCCCCTAGCTAGAAGCAGATTCCCATAGCAAGCTAGAAGCAGATACCGTATACCCCAAGCTAGCTAGAATACTAGTTATATAGCTTTTGCTAGCTTTAGAGTTTTTCCTGGTAGAAGCAGACCCCCCTACTAGGATGCATGTAAATGGCTTTAGCTGGTTTTTAGCACCATCCCAGGATACTTATTTAGTTTTTGCTGACTTATTTGTATTCTAACCCTACCCTTATACCTGCAGGGACCACCGTAGCAGGAAAAACAATTAAAGGGGTTGAGGGCTCTGGCAGCAAGACTGCCGAGGTCAATTAAAGGGGTTGAGGGCTCTGGCAGCAAGACTGCCGAGGTAATAGAGGCCTATTTCGACGGCTCTCTTGTTGAGCCCACCTTAGCAACTCCCACGGAAGTGAGTGCTGTGAGTGTGCTCGGGTAGAAGCCTGAGTACATGTACCACTTGTTCACGAGATCCCGCTCCAACTTTCGATCTTTCCTCCAGCTGGGGACATCCTCCACGCCGTGGATCTTCATTAGATTTAAAGTTTGGCCTATTGGGATTTAGAGCAAGGTTTCGACCTTTGCAGTGCACGAATGCTGCAGCTTCATCTTGCGGGTGGATCGGGTTTGATGATCGATGGACTTGCACGCATAGCTCACGCATGTACCGTAGGCATGGTGTTTCCTACAACTAGAAATTCTGGATGTTTCTCATCAATCTCGGGGAGTGAGATAAGAGCTGAGATAAGCAAGCTATGCATGGAAGCCTGAAGTATTGGTACTATAGAAACATTCGCAGTAAAACCTACCTAGCAGAAAGTTTCGTGAAATGAGCGCCCTGTGCAAATTGATGCATCCTTTTGAATGTCCCTGCATGCCTTGAATAGATATTGAAGGCGTCTCTTCTGCTCGTTTGTTGTTTGAAGGCATCAGCGGGCAGTTTCGCCGCGTCGTGGACTCTCGAACCGCCGTACCGGACAATGTGTCGCCAGAATCGAATCTATAGCCTTTTTTTGGTTCGAAGGGGAGTCGAGTCCGACCAATGTGATCGGACTGGATGGTTGTACTGCGACTTTAAAAAATGCATTGCTAATAACTTCGGTTATGTGGGCACTTGGTCTCACAGAACTCTATAGATTCCCATGAATAGCCCGCTGAGAGTGCACGCTCAGCAAGGATATCAAGTTCGTGTGGCACAAGAGCAACCACACCCGCACAGCTTGTCAGTGCAATCAAGCAACACTCCATAAGGTTCTTCACATGGGTCAAAACTGTTCTGAATGCAGGTGCCATTGATCTTGCAAACCCCTGGTGAAATAGTCCCAGTGAGCATTGGATTCCCTCCCAACTTGAGTGAGTGCAGTGCTTGAGACAACTGACCAAGCTGGCTTGGGATTTGGCCTGAGAAATTGTTGTTCTCCAGTGATATCTCTCTCAAATTGGCAAGGAGCCCTAACTCTGATGGAATCTGGCCCGAGAGTTGATTGCCTCTCAATACCAATGAAATGCGAAGATTTGTCAATAGACCAAGCTCCTGGGGAACTGGGCCAGTTAGAAGGTTGTCCCGGAATGTCAGCAAGGTAGTCTGTGTCAGAAGACCTAGCTCTGTGGGCAAGGTTCCTTCCAGTGAATTGTTGAACAAGGAAAGAATCCTCATCTCTTCAAGAATGCCTATTTCACTAACAATGGTCCCCGAGATTCTGTTTTCTTCCAATGTCAACGTATCCAAAGCCTTTGCCAATCCAATCTCTGACGGGAGCGTGCCTAGGAATAGAATTCGTTTACAAGAGTGACAGTCACAACAAGAGAGGATCAGTCAGTCAAAGATTCTAATCTCCTTTGGAACAAAGGGTGCCAATTAATTTGTCATGCCAAACATTTGACTACGCCATCCAGTGACTTACCAGAAAGGTCACAGACAGTCAAGCTAAGCCACCGCAACTGGGAGAAAACCCCAATTTCTGTGGGGATGCTCCCACGGAGGCCATCATTGAAATTTAGGAAAAAGCTGCTCAGGTTGGTAAGCTGCCAGACTTCTGTGGGAATACTCCCTTGTAGATTGATGCCGGGAAGTCCCAAGATTGTCAATGCTGTCAAGAGGCCAAATTCGGAAGGGATGGTTCCTCCATGATCTGAATTGGCAAATGCCAGCCCTTGGAGCGCCGTCATTTGTCCGAGAAGTGTCGACAGGGGGCCAACAAGCATATTGAAACCCATTGACAGAGTTTTAAGGGTAGTCAGCATGTATAGCTCTTCGGGCAATGAACCCACAAGATTATTCTGGTCGAGCCACAGATGCTCGTAGATACCGGTATGGGTATCACACTTGCTGGTCGGTAGCTGAAACTCTTGAAGGAAGCCAGTGTACAAAAATGCAATTTTGGACTTCAGTGCAAACTCTGATCTTGTGAACCATTCACATTCATGGACTGTGTGATTGAGCCAGTTGTCATTGTGCGCCCAGATGTTTCCACCTGTGGCATAGTAGATAGTGGCCAAGGCAAAACGCTGTTTGATTCGGTTCATGAATACAGAAGAATTGTTGTTTGAGTAGTCATCATCGAGTTCAATCATGTCGTCGAGCAGCCACTGGAACGCCAGTGATTGCAGTGACTGCACATCTTCCATGATTTTTTGCTGGGTGTCCTCTGGTAACAGGGACAAATAGTATTGATCCAAGGTTGTTGGTGCCTCAGACGGGTTGCTGCTAGGCATACTTGTTGGAGTATCTTCTTCATCATTGGATGATTCTCCCCCGGAAGGTACAAGAACGGTCACCAATATGATGATAACGGCAATCAAAATGACAAGTCCCAATAGAATGTAGGTGCAGGATTGCTTGGTTCTTTGGGCTCTTCGATTGGCCGCTTCCAAATCAACACTTTGTGCTCGGGGCAGAGCATTGAGTACTTCGGAATTTTCGTCTACCAAGTTTGCCACAACGAGTCCAGTGGTATCGTGGCTTGGTCTTGTTTCTGGCGGCAGTAGTGATGGTTCCATATTACTTTCACTGGCAACGTCTTGAGTAGCACTAGCATCGGTTGTGGTTTCTGTTTGAGCTGCTGCTGCTGCTGCCACCCCAAGAAGGCCAAATTGGGGTCCGAGGGTTCTTTGTAGCTCCCTGCCAGGGCCACTAGAGTAAGCCCCCGGTGTTGCCAATGTCAATGCCACAGGTTCTGTACCGGTTTGTACACAGTTGTGAGTGTTGTTCGCTATGCCGTCACTATGGATACTGTGGCCAGTACCCCCCGTACCGGTATTCCTAGGTACAGTATCTAGAAGACGTGATTCCACAATCTTTTGAGTCTCTTCATTCTGCAATTGACGGCCGCTGCTATCTACCATAATGTCGTTGACGTTATTCTCATTAATGCTGTCAGCTACAGCTAAACCGTTGGATACGCTAGCTGGCTTTGTATGCTTTAGCAAGTCCAATTCCGCTGAAAGCACCGTGCTAGGAATCGCCGTTTCATTTCTTGGTCTTTCACCATCCTCAGCTCTTTCAGAATCCAAAGATCCCTTACTAGCATTACTAGTACTAGCATTAGTATTAGCATCCATCTTCATCGCCACTTCCAAGTGTATAGCTAGTTTGATATCTTATGGGGATCGACGGTGATTCCGGTCATACCGTAGATCGAAGCTTGCTTGGGACTTTGCTTCGCATCTGGTAAGACTCCACGCCATTGGTAACCGTATCAAACTCTACTAGCTACCATATCTCCATGCTACTCAAGCAGCTTGCACTGCAATAATAATAATACTGTTTTTAGTGCCAAAAACGTTAGGCCGGTCTCTACCGGAGCGACTAAAGTAGCGACTAAGCCATATTTTGTAGTTTAGTCCATAGTTTAGTCTCTTGGGGTGGTGTCTACCCAAGCGACTAAACGTCATACGGACTAAAGCCTTTAGTCGAAATGTTGGTTCACCGACTAAAGGGAGGCTGGTTAGTCGGTGAGCGAGCGTAAGGACTAAAGCTTGTTTAAGAACAGCAAATAAATCCAACAGAAAACAATACAACCAAGTTGGATAACAAAATCAGCCTCATTGCACAGCCTCACTATCAGAGCATCGCGACAGAGCTGATAGAGTAGAGGTGCAAAGGATCGAACGATCCAATGATAGTAGAGGTGCAAACGATCGTTCGACGATCGAATGATAGTAGAGGTGCAAACGATCGAACGATCGAACGATCGAACGATCGAACGATTGAATGATACCGGTACCAGTAGAGGTGCAAACGATCGATCGAACGATTGAATGATACCGGTAGTAGAGGTGCAAAGGATCGATCGAACGATTGACAGAGGAGAGGTGCATTGCAATGGTGTGTTTTGAGTCTTGTTATCTCAAAAAAGTAATCACTTCGATTAAGTCTTTGTTTGAGTCCTTTAAATCCACCATGCTGATAGAATATTGGTAGCCCACCAAGTGATCACTTTTGTTAAATCTTGTTTGAGTCCTTTAAGTCCACTAGTGTTCCGTTTAGTCATTTGTTTAGTGCTGGCGCTGGGTACCGGTAGACAGGTCCAAATGACTAAAGAACTGACTAAATTGTTTAGTCCGAGATTTAGTCATCTGCTGGTAGACACCACCATTACTAAAGGATAATGACTAAATCTTGAACTAAACAACCACCTAAAGGATTCCTTTAGTCGGTCCCTTAGTCGCTCCGGTAGAGACCGGCCTTACGGCCACCAATCTAAAGTCCAGAGAACACCATGGCAATCAACAATGAGTTGGCCTGGTCGGAGTTATAAATGTAAAGCATCTGCTACAATCTAGAGTGCGGCATGGTTCGATGCGCATAAGGGTTAGCTGCTTTCCGTTTGGAGGCTTGCCTCGTTGATTTCGTGATCGTGATGGACATGAACCGTAGTACTGTACAAGCTTTCGTTTGGAAAAGAAAATTAGTTTGTCCGTTGACACGAGCCCTGAACAACTTGAGTCAAAGGGGATCCCCCCTTTGGCGGACCCTTGCTAACTGTATGGTCCCCCCTTTAGCTACGGTAGGATCTGAATCACGCCCTTATCGTACCAGTAGATGCATGGGCATGAATCGCTTCGTACCTGGGCTTTGCGGCTTTCTGACTCTCATATCCTAAGATGACCCTGGAAACAAGAGCGAGAGGGAGGCAATCCTCATGACGGGTTGACGGCCTGAATTCGCGACTTCGGATCGATCGATCAACGATGTTGTTTCTACGATGTGGGAAAACACAGCTCCATAGCAGCTCGAATTCGTCCAAGATTTGGAGAGCGGACTGCTAGAATATAGCTACCGGTATAGCTGACATCCTTTTCGGGTTCTTTTGGAAACGTAGCTATAGTGGGCGTAACCTCGTGGTCAGGGGTGTGAAGGCACGGTGTTAAGGCACGAAGATTACAGAGAGAGTTTTGAGCGTAGTTAGCTAGGTTCTGCTTGAAGTTTAATTATGCAAATATTTAGTAGTATGATGATCAACACACAGCCATCCAGTCATTCCGTTCAGGGTCCAGTTTGGTTTCCCTCAGTTAGGTTTGCCTCACTCGGTAGCTGATCACCTCGATTGGTAGGCTCTCCCTCCAGTATCGGTGATGTGTCAAAGTCAGAACAGTTACACCAGTCACATCCACAGAGCTGGCTGCTGCAGTCAAACGTAAGGTTGTTGGCAAAACACAAGCTCTCAGGGATAATGCCAGAAAGATCATTTCCATACAACAAGGCTTGACCATAAGGTGCATGGAAAGGAACATTGCCAAGCTCCAGTGGCACTGTTCCAGTCAATCATTGTCAAACAGCCACAACTGCCACAAATCAGTAAGCAGTCCAAGCTCTGTAGGAATGGTTCCTGCAGGTTATGTAGCATGTAAACCAAGTGTCGGTCATTCCAATTCATTGGGATTGTGCCCGACAAATCGTTCGCATGAAGCCATAAGTTAAAACTTTGTTAGAAGGCCAAGTTCTGTAGGGATCTAAAGCAAAAAGAAGAAACGGTGAACTTCATTTTAGAAGAAGAAGAAACTTGACATGACCAGCACAACACAAGACTTACAGTCCCAGTAAAGGAGTTATCTGACAGTGTCAATCCATCCATGGTTGTCATGTTGCCAAGCCACCTGGGGATCGTCCCCGTAAGGCCGGTGTTATCCAGTTGCAGAAGTATCATGTCTGTAAGAAGTGCAAGCTCATTTGGGATCTACCAGAATGTGCTTGTAAGATTTCAAAAATAGGAAAACACGGAAAATCCACCAATGCCACGGTGAAAACTTACAGCGCCACTCAGAATGAGGTCGTGCAGGAACAGGGTCCATAATCCAGTGAACTGCCCAAGCTCTGTGGGAATTTTCCCGGTAAATAGGTTGGTGTCAAGCACTAGACCCCTCAACTTAGTTAGCAATCCCAGCTCTGTTGGTAACTGCAATATCAGAAACAGCCAGTGAGACACACCAACACAACATTCAGAAAGAGAAACATTTTTGTACCTACTGGTCCTGTTAGCTGATTTCCTGATAGAATGATGCCAGCCATTGAGTTTGTAAGGGAATAAAGGGATGACGGAAGCTGGAAAAGACAGTTATTCAAGGGAAGAAATGACAAGGTGAGATATCACAGCAAGCTCTACACAGGTAATCCATGGTCTATGACTTACAGTTCCAGTCAAAGAATTGATTCCCATGTACACGATGCCAAGTTTTGACAATTGTCCAATTGCCTCAGGAATGGAGCCAAACAGCCCACAAAACATCATCGAAAGATATTCCAAATTTGAAAGGTTAAAAAGCTCATCAGGGATGGTGCTTGCAAGGTTCAATTCATCCAATGCCAAGCTCTTGAGGTCTGTGAGCAAGTAGAGCTCTGGTGGAATGCCTGATCCTAACAGGCGGTTATAAGGCAGCCAAAAATGCTTCAGGATTCCTTCTCCCTGATACAAGATGCCATCCTGTAGATATCCAGCTGGATCTTGCTCACATGGACTGATGTGATCCAGTGGGAGAACATTGTTGGCCTCAACAAAGAAATACCATTGCTCCAAACCAGAATACCAAAGGCACTCATGAACACTGTGGTTTAGCCAATTGTCACTGGAGAACCATGGTTCGTCGCTGTTGGCAAAATAGAAGGTTGCAAGGACGAAACGTTGTACAACTCTCTGCGCCGTAAGGTTGCGTAGGATGTCAATCTCTTCCACGAGCCATTCAAATGCCATCGACTGGGGCGATTCTGGATCCTCCAAAATTGCAGAGACTGTTGATTCAGGGAAAAGAGACAGCCAGTACTCTGAATACGATGATGGTCCCTGAGATGGGTTGCTGCTGGGCATCTCACTAGGTGAGGTTGTTGGGACAAGATCTGCATTCTCCTCTTGACGTCGAGTAATCAGGATGGCTACCAAAATAATAGTGATGGCCAACAAGACAATGACTCCCAAGAAGACCTTGGTTCTGAATTGCTTCATCCTTTCTTCTCTTTTGTTGTCAGTGTTGTCTGGATTGTAATCTTGAGCATGGGGCAGATCCTGAGGGGTTGTTTCATCTGCAACTACCAAATTGGCCACAGCCAAACCACTGTTATCATTTTGTGGTTCGATCCTCGGTGGTCGAAACCCTAGCAGGTCGAGTGCCACATTCGCCGGTTCAATGTGTGTCTCTGCTGTTTCCCCATTTTCCTCTATTGCCTGAGGATTACCTCCACTTGGGAAGGCTCCTGGACGGACTTGGGCCCTTCTGTTGGCAGTACTCCGTTGCAATCGAGGCAAAGGCATAATTCCAAAATTGTCATCATTTTGTTCTGTACCCTCCGGAGCTACATTGGTGTCGACGAGTTCAATTCTGTTGACCTCACCAGTGCTAGAAATATTGCTCAAGTTTTGTTCCTCTTGATGGTTCTGCTGTTCAATGGTATTTTCTTTTTCTGCTGGCAGAATGGTACTTGTACAACTTGATGAATCTACCTCTTTCTCCGGCTGATGATGTATTTCTACATAATCTGTTTGATTGTTCCTCCTATCCTTTGCTGCTGGATAGGCAATCAACTGTTTGGCTTCAGCCAAAATGGATTGTGCCATCTCCTCATTCTCTTGCTGGTCTTCTTCCTGTTCCGGTTGTCTCTCCTCGTGTTCGTGCTCTTGGTTGCGGGTAGAAGCCAGGTTGCCCTGCTTGCCTGCCTCCTTTTCTGTAGTCATGATCGAGGTGGTAGTGATACTTCTAACTTGGAACGGCGAATGTGGGATGAATGGATAAATTATGTGGTCAAGAGCTCGTGGACTGTGGTGCATTCATACAGCGTAGTACCGGCAGCTATCCAGCTACTCTAGTAATGGCAAAGGCAATCTGAGAGATCCATTTCCTCTTTCAGATGTCCTGCGTGCTACATGTACCGGTGCAGGAGCTACTAGTAGCTTACTGCATGCAATTCATTCGCGCGACTACAAAATATTTTTAAGTCGCGCGAATGACTAGTAACCGAGCTGATTGGTACCACAACGGAATGTGGGGTGAAGTGGTAAAGTGAACTTGAGAGTTAGAGACTTAAAGAGTATTGAATTTACTTCAAGTTTCAAGGGTTCTTTGTCGTTCAGATGAGTTCTTCTCGGGTACCGGTACAGTCGTACGGTACCGTAGTGCCGTAGTGCAACGAATTTCTTGCCAAGATGGAACCAGAGTCGGTCAAGTCCCACATTGTAGGCTGCGTGCAATTTTCGTCATCCCCGCGTCTAGAACAAATCAACCGGGACCGGGGTCCGCGTGTGTAGTCCAGTCGTCCAGTTTCTGGAAACATTGCTATACGCTGAACATCAGCAGCAGGTGTTCTTCGTAGTACCGGTACATTGTAGCCCACTGGTTCTCTGCATCTGAGGAAGTCAGAGAACAGGTGGAACGAGAGCTGAACGAGTTTACATGCTACTGTGCCCGGGTAAGGCTCAAGCTCGAGTATCGTGTGAATGGGAAAATCGGAACATCGGAACATACAATGTCATGTCGGAGAGAAGGCCATCAAACTGGTGCGCTCAGGGGAACATTCTCGAAGAACCGATGGGAGACAATGTGGACTTACGAGGACTGGCTCTAGCCAGAGCTCTGCGCAACCAATGTAACAACTGAAAGGATTTTGTCCCCGGAATAGAATAGGAGTCGGATATCAAATATCAAACGCTTCAACAGGAAACAGGAAGATACTATGGAGGTACTTCCGTGGGAGTTGCTAGACCCGACAATTGAGGGAGCCATCAAATTAGGCTATATGTACTAGAGGAGAGGTGCCCGAAAATTCCAGCCCACAACAAGCCAGATTACCCGGCCGAGTAAGCGGCATTGACAGGCCGTCCTACGAGTCTTTGAAAGCTAGTAATGCACCTATCATTGAGTACCGTCCTTACGGTACCAAACGGTGACAGACCCCGAAGAGTACGAAGCCACGGAACCTAGCTACCGGCTAGAGTCCTGAATTTGGACTCTTCTTTCCGTGGCTCTCGTTGGCTTCATCCACCCACGAGGCCAAACCCCGGGCTACCGTATGTCATAGTCTAGTAGCCCATTTTGATAGTGTCCGACGAATCTCCAATCCGAATGACTCGACTGTCACGCGTCACTCGACTGACTATCGATTGATAGAATCGAAGGAATATCTTGAACCCCATCTCTTTCAGCGCCGCCACTTTCCGGTATCCGTTTGGCGAATGATTGCAACATCATGGTTGATCACGGCGCAGCACAGAGCTCTAGCGCGAGCCATGGAATACCAAAAGAAGGATTTGTCTGGCCGATAGCCCGTCAGCCGAAGGTGCTTTGTTTGTTGGTTGAACCGGCTGTGTTGTGAGCCTTGCTGGGATCACGTCATGAGGCTCCTTGCTCTATTTCAGTGCTGGTATGCAACTGACATCCAGGGATGAAAACCAGCGAGGATCCAAAGCTTGATTGTCCTCTCTGTCTTCAGTGATGGTCTCCTTCGTGCCGAAGCTGAGGCACTTGCCAAACGTATCTCCTCTTTGCTTGCTGGAAAGGGGTCCCGTCCTTACTCGGGTGGTGCATGGCAAAATTAATGCTCGGCTCAGCCTTGCTCTTCTTCGGGCCCGCCACCTTTGCATCATGGCTCTCATGTCTCTCACGTCCTCGCTGGCACAATGAGCCTACGAGTGTGGTGTGGATTACCTTGGCAGTCTATCTGCCTGAGCCCTCACCCCCTTTACCTCGGCAGTCTATCTGCCTGAGCCCTCACCCCCTTTTTTGGTATTTCCTGTTTCCTGTTTCCTGCTTCCTGTTTCCTGCTTCCTGTTTCCTGTTTCCTGCTTCCTGCTTCTGCTCCTGTTCCTGCTTCCTTGTTTCCTGTTTCCGGTGAAGCCAAAATATAGGGATAGAGATAGGCACAAGCCAACTCTACAAATTTAGGGGTAGGAATAAATCTGGTATATTAAGGTTAGTCACTCAACACAATAAGCAGCAAAGCTACAAAAGTTACAGGTACATACCGGAATGACAGCTGTAAAATTATGGTTAGCGAGCGGCACACACACGACGCGAGTCGGGTGTTGTGCAGGGCTACTTAAATAAAAAAGAAGGTATAATGAGGGAATGATACGGGCGGCAACACACGAGAAGTCGGGTGTTGTCCAGGGCTACCTTGAAAGAAGGTGCAATCTCAAACAACTGTCATCCTTCTTCTATCTGTCTTTCTGCCGAGTATCGCAGCTCCCGCTGACTTATTTGGTATTCCTATTTCCTGCTTTCTGTTTCCTGCTTCCTGTTTCCTGCTTCCTGCTTCCTGTTTCCTGTTCCGTGAAGCCAAAATATAGGGATAGAGATAGGCACAAGCCAACTCTACAAATTTAGGGGTAGGAATAAATCATATATTAAGGTTAGTGCACTCAACACAACAGCACAATAAGCCAGCAGAAGCTACAAAAGTTACAGGTACATACCGGAGTGACAGCTGTAAAATTATGGTTAGCGAGCGGCAACACACGACGAAGTCGGGTGTTGTCGCCAGGGCTACCTTAAATAAAAAAGAAGGTTATAATGAGGGAATGATACGGGGCGGCAACACACGACGAAGTCGGGTGTTGTCGCCAGGGCTACCTTGAAAGAAGGGTGCAATCTCAAACATGTCATCCTTCTTCTATCTGTCTTTCTGCCGAGGTATCGCAGCTCCCGCTGACTTATATAATTACCGGTAGGTTCTGCTTGAAGCGTCATCGTGGATTCAACAATAATTATACAGGGGTTTTAGAGTAGGGAAATTATCTACGGAAGCCAGCCGGGGCCAGGCTTAAGCAAAGAACAGTCGAAATTCAGGACTAGGTTCTGTGGGATCAGGGGCAAGAAATTGAGGACCATTACGGGGGGAAAGGGTTTGGCTTTGATAATGCAAATATGTAACGCACACCCATCCAGTCATTCGGTTCATAGTCCAGTTTGGCTCCCTTCAGTTTGGTTTGCCTCGCTGACCAGCTGACCATCTTCATCGGCAGTCTCTCCATCCTGGATCGGTAATGTTTCAACGTCAGAACAGTTACACAAGTCACATCCGCACAGGAAGGTGCTGCAGTCAAAATAAAGGCTGTTGGCAGAACACAAGCTCTCAGGGATAATGCCAGAAAGATCATTTCCATGCAAAAAGACTTCACCGTAAGGTGCAGGGAAAGGAACATTGCCAAGCTCCAAAGGCACTATTCCAGTCAAATCGTTGTCAAACAGCCACAACTGATACAGACAATGGGTAAGCAGTCCAAGCTCTGTTGGAATAGTTCCTGTCAGATCATTGTTTTCGAAGCTCAACACAATCACTTGCTCGTACATTCCAATCTCGCTCGGGATTGTGCCCGACAAAGCATTCATACCAAGCCATAAGACAGACATCTTTGTTAGAAGGCCAAGTTCGGTTGGGATCTAAAGGGGAAAAGAAGAATCAATGGACTTCCATGTTAGAAGAAGAAGAAACTTGACACGACTGGCACAAAAATAGGCTTACAATCCCAGTAAAGGAGTTCCCCCCCAGCGACAATGTGTCCAGGGATGTCATGTTGCCAAGCCACATGGGGATTGTCCTTGAAAGGTATGTGTCATGCATGTACAGATTTACCATGTCTGTAAGAACTGAAAGCTCCACTGGGATCTAAAGGAATCACAGAGAGCATTGAGCACAGCTAGGACGCATGCAATAAACAAGCACCAAACATCACTGCAAAACTTACAGTGCCACTCAACATATGGAAGGAAAGATCTAATCTATCCAATAGAGTCAATTGTCCCAGTTCTGTGGGAATGGTACCCGTGAATAAGTTGGTTTGAACCCATATATGCTGTAAATTAGTAAGCAATCCCAGTTCTGTTGGTAACTGCAGCACAAGATGAAGAACGATTGTGAGAACGGCAAAACTGTATTCGCAAAAGACACGACTCATAATGCACATACTGGTCCTGTCAGCTGATTTTCTAATAGAGCAATGCTTCTCATGGAGTTTGTAAGGGAATACAGGGATGATGGAATCTGGAACCATAGAGTGTCAAAATATTGATTTGACAAAATGAGACAATGCAGAACAATCTGTCAGATACATCATAGGTTACCACTTACAGTTCCCGTCAAAGAGTTGGTGGCAAAGTAGAGAACAGCAAGTTCTGAGAATCTCCCAATTGCCTCAGGAATGGATCCATAAAGGCCACCAGCAGTGATCGAAATAAGCTCCAAAGAACTGGGAAGGTCAAACAGGTTTTCTGGGATAGTGCTGGTAAGGTTGAATGCATCCAATGCCAAGCTCTTAAGTTCAGTAAGCAAGTGGAGCTCAGGTGGAATCTCTGATACCATCAGGCCATTCAGTACCCTCAATGACAGCCACAAGTGTCTGATGATTCCATTTCCCTGATACAAGATGCCATCCTCTAGATATCCAGCTGGGTCTTGCTCACAGGGACTGATGTGATGCAGCGGGAAGACTATATAGGCAAAAGAAATGACATAAAAGTCCTTCAAACTTGAATACCAAACGCACTCATGAACACTGTGGTTGAGCCAATTGCCCCATCGCTCTTTGCCGTTGGCAAAATAGAATGTTGCTAGTACAAAACGTTGTACCACTCTCTGTTCCGTAATGTTTTGCAGAACATCAATCTCTTCCATGAGCCATTTGAATGCCCTCGACTGTGGAGATTATGGATCCTCCTGAATTGCAGAGACTGTTGATTCAGGGAAAAGCGACAGCCAGTATTCCGAATCAGATGTTGGTCCCTGAGATGGGTTACTGCTGGGCGGTGTGGTTGTTGGGACAAGATCTGCATTATCCCCTTGACGTTGAGGAATCAGGGTGGCTACCAAAATGATAGTGATGGCCAACAAGACAATGACTCCCAAGAAGACCTTGGTTTTGAATTGCTTCATCCTTTCTTCTATGTATTGGTTGTTTTTGTCTGGACTGTAATCTTGAGCCTGTGGCAGATCCTGAGGGGTCGTATCATCTGTCACTACCAAATTGGCCACAGCCAAGCCACTATTGGAATCAACAGGATTGATTGTAGGTGGTAGAGTCGCCATTATTGTGTTGGCAGTTCTGTTTGTCTCTCCTCTTGGATACTTGATAGTGCTTTTAGCAGCTTGTAGGAGAGTAGAAGTGACGGGGGTAGATTTGTTGGTTTGCCCTTGGCTGTTATTGCTGGTAGAATCAGGCTTTACAGGTACAGTGGGGCCAGGCCTATCTTCTTGAACGCCGGTGGTGTTGTTCTTATTAGACGGCCCACTTCTTGGATAGGCAATGTTGCGCTTTTCATGTGCCAACAGGGCACTTGAATCTGCAGTTTTGGCAGTATAGGCCATCATCTGGTTCTCTTTGTGGATCGGCTGCTGCTCATTGGTGTCTGCAGCTGTCTGAGGAACTGTTCTGCGCTTTGGGATATGCAATGTTTAGTTTTTCTGCTGTCAACATGGCACTTTCAGTGCCAATTTTATGAGCTGTAGTGGCACCAGTGGAAGTAGTAGACGTGGGCAACCCATGATCCGCCTCAGCAACGTCACCAGTGCTACCGGAAGCACGGCCTTTGGGAGCCTTGCCGACATCAGATTCTTGTGATGGAACTTCCATCATTGGAGTGGAGTGATACAGACAGATGTCTTGCCGCGTCTTGCCTTTTGGATGTGGATAGCTCTTCGGTTCTGGACTTTAGCTCCTTATTATAGTATTGGAAGCAGTATCGCTCGCCGTGTGCTGGGTTGTAAAGACTGTCTATATATTAGTGCTTCCCTGCTGATCAAGGTTGTGAAGCTCAGAATTATGAGGAATATGAGGGCAAGGAGGACGGATGTGTCTACGGTACCCGCAAAGCCAAACCCTTTGCCCCCCGTAATGGTCCTCAATTTCTTGCCCCTGATCCCACAGAACCTAGTCCTGAATTTCGACTGTTCTTTGCTTAAGCCTGGTCCCGGCTGGCTTCCGTAGCTAATTTCCCTACTCTAAAAACCCCTTATGTCTACGGTATGGTATCGCCCTTGCTTCTCCGTTCATACGGGGAAGTTGCTTCTCCGGGTGATCAACAAAAATCTGCAAAACTCGATCTCAGACGTTTCGGCATACGGCTGTGCTGGCTAATGGTGAAGCCAGCTGAGAAGCAGAAATTTGATTCGATTCGATTCGATTTTTTTAAAAGCCCTTCAAATTTTTTAAGCGTTGGTTTCACCCATGATAATGTTTCAAGCAGCAGACAAGTGACAGTCGAGTTGACGTCTTTCGACGCTGGCCTCTATGCGGTAGTATTACTACAACCATTCCTCATCAACCATATACACCGCCTTTGAAGCTTGCTTGGCCCTGCATTGATGGTCTGGTCGCCATGGAGTCGCCCAGACACCGGTCAGGTCCACAGCAATGCCGTTCAAATGAATGAATCGATCCACATCAGCCATGCACCGTTGTCAATGACATCGGCGCGCCTGTGAGCTCTTCGTTGCCGGATACCGGTTGTGTTGTTCAGTTAATAACTTTCACTGTGGCCAACAACGGCAACGGTACGGAAACCTCGATCAGGTACAGTCGTAGCTATACCTTGAATCCAACCACCTGCCATCCAAGTCTGCAAAACCGGGCCCGGCGGCGACGATCCCTACTTTATCAGTGGCAGCCACGATCCGACCTTGGATCGAGCTAGTACCAGGATACTCGTTCTGAGAAACTCAAGCTCGAACCAACATGCACGTACAGCTATTCACAGCGCCCGTTTCAGTAGCATTCAATCGCCTCGAACAAGCACAAGCAGGAGCACGGTGAATGGTGCATACAGGCGGGAGTGTTACAGAACCCATCCGTACAACTCGAAGTTGCGCTCCATGTGCACGTCTTCTGGTGGACAACCCGCCTTATACTTGTCATCCCTGTAGAACTTGACCACCCCACTGTGCAATTTGACCACTCGATTCACCCGTTTCAGATTGGGGTGGCCCAACACGTGCACTTTCGCCAAAGTGTACGCATTCAACAAGAAGGATTCGGGATTCTTGACCACTTTGGGATCCAAAAATAGACCATGAGCCACCACGTTGTAAGGATGTTCAAAGTAAGTCCGGGCCACGTCAGGACTGACAATGGCAAATCGATCGTTCATTCCGTGCCAGTTACGGCACTCGGTGACTACGACCGAGTTGGGCGGAGGAGGAATGGCATCAAACATGACATTCTCCATGCTGGGCAGAGGACGGTTCAACCCCGAATCGTCACGGATCCGAACAAACAAATCATAGTACGATTGGGCATTGCGTTCCCCGTACCCTGCTTCTTTGGCGGCCTCATCGGCGTGTTCCAAACATCGCCGATAGCTGTCAAAAATGCGACCATGATTGCCGGCTCGTTCCGTTTGTTCCCTCCATGTCCTCACCTTCTTTTGGGACTTGTGCATCAGAGAGAGGTAATGGTGATGGACTGGAGGATTCTCCAAACGAGGGTAGGTTCCATTCAACGTCAAGACACGAATGTCACTCTGTTGGAGATCCATCACAGCATCTGAAAAGTTGGCGTAGAAGGATTCGAACTTGTTGCTCACGCGGTTCTTCTTGGCATTGGTGTAGGAAGCCTCACCATTGCTGAGTACCAAAGCGGCATCGGTCTTGTAGCCGGAGCGCTGCAGTGGGGCAAAGAGATTTTTGATTTTGTTTTCCAGTTCGAAACGATCGAATTGGCCAGTTACACAGATAAAGGCCCGCTTTTCATCATCTTTGTGGATTGATGGTTTGCTTGCAGCTTCCTGGACCGACATGGAGGGCAAGGAAAAGTAAGGATTGGGACTCTCTCGTTTGAGGGAGCTTTGCGGCCGGAAGACGTTCCAATGAAAACGAGTTTGGAGATCTTCAAACATGTGAGTTTTCACTTGTCGTGAAGTTCCCGTATAGGTCGCCACAGACATGAGCTAGAAGATTCATGAGAAAGGGTTTACGTGAGGGGTATGCATGCATGATAATGGGAGGATTGCGCGAGGGACACTTTTTGCTGCACTTACCTGTTCCCCAATCTTGTCATGTAGTGAAAGCAGCAAATTTGCCGTGGCTTCTGGGAGACGGGATAGTTGGACCTCACGAACAAGCGTATGATTGCAGTTGGCAATATCCACTGGGATTGGGGTGGCAAGTCGGCGAATATTCCATCCCAACAGGGAGTCCAAAATGTAGCTCACCCAGACATCATCAAACTCAAAATAATCCTTCAGGTCACCTGCCAGACGAAGCAGTTGTTGATCCAGTAGCCACAAGTTGGCATCCAAAACCGATCCACCCGGACCAGCATACGTAAACGTCTGAACCTCGGCTTTGGTATTATTCACAATGTGACTCCACCGTACATCGGATGACCAATAGTCGCCCAGCCCCGTGTCGGTGTTCCTTTGGGAGAACACTTTCCCATACCACGTCACAATACCCTTGGGACGATGCCGTTCTAACAGAGCTCCAACAAAACTGGGCGGCCAATATTGATCGTCGTCCACAAACACCACCATGTCCAGTGGTTCATGGTGACGAAGTCTTTGAACATACAAGAACCTCGAGAAGGCATGCCAATTCTCTTCCTCGTGAACCACTGTTATTTCGAGAGGTCTGGTTTCTGTGACGTTTGACTGCTGTTGACGAAAGGTTGTCACAATGGATTCAATCTCAGTCTTCATGGTTGGATTGTTGTTCACCAAGTGGAGGTGCAGCTTCCGTGTCTGAGTAATATTCTGCTCCTGCAACCACCCCAGCTGGTCTTTCAGCAAAAATATTCGGTCCCAGCAAACCAAGACCACATGAATTGGCAACTCCAATCTCACGGATGGTTCCAGGGTTACAATCTCCTTTTGAACAGAGGCTTGCAAATCCGTAATCGATTGCGTTTTGGTACCATTGTAGCTCATGGGCGTGAATGCGACGCGGTCCACGCCAGACAGCTCGAGTATCCGATACAACAAGCCGTGAACAGCCGCAGGCCTGTCCCATGACTTGGTATTGGAAGCAAAGAAGAAATCGGATATAGTCAAATGCCCCAAAAGATGTGCTTTGAATGTGAATAGAGCACCAAAGCGCCATGGCGGATCCTGGCCTCGTGGATGAAATGGCATGGACGCCTTCTTCATCCGTTTTCCAAGCGTAGCCGTTGCAGACTCGGTTCCGTCCCAGCTTATTGTTTGGTTGACGCCGCCACCTTCTTCGTGGATGGATCCAATCGTCATCCAGGCGTTGTTGTCGATGTATGCCCTATTGATCTCTTGTAGTGCATTCCTTGACGCCAATTTATCGTCAGCCTGCAAAGCCACAATGACATCGTTGGGTTCCAGAATGCTTTCCAGCAACCGCAATGCCCAATACTGAGCTTTCTCGGGGCCCAGTTGTATACTTGATTGCACACAGAAAAGTTGCAAGGGTGCTAATGTTTCATTCTTGTCGTCGCCCCTAAACTTGGTCACGTAGCGGCTGGCATGGGTTTTGGCAAATGTGTCCCTTGTGTCTGTTGTACCCGATCTCATGGCAGGTTGGAACTTCAAAATATCAGTGCCTTTACAGCAACCTTCCAAAATAGTCTTGTCACTGGATCGGTCATCATAGAGCAACAATGATACTTTGTCGGGTGGGTAGTCTTGACAGGCAACGGAACAGACCAAAGACGAAATATCCTGATCCTTGATGTGGTGAAATGGCAGCACAACCCATAGCTTGTTGCGGACTGCCTGTGGGCACAGTGGCCGTTGTTTGGAAAGGTGATGGGGAGCACGACGACTGAGCCATTCTTCTGGGGCACTGCCAGTGCATGGATCGGTAGATATAGTTGCCGGACTACAGGAACATTGCTTCCAAAGTTTCTTGTGGATAGCCGATTGCGGTGCGTTCTTGTCCTTGGAAGCCACCACTTTTTCTTGCCAGATGGGTGGTTCCCAGGGAAATGATATTCGAGTAGTATTGACAAGAGTTCGGAGAGCCCATTGCTGGAGCGACTGAACTTTGGTGCTCCACACAGGATGCAGGCTCTTGACGCGACGTTTGGATACAAACTTCCAATTTGCCTCTCTGAAGGCACCATGCTTTTCTGGCTTGCTGAATTCCATGGGATCCGTCACCACGTTTCGTTCTTGAAAGTCGAGTTGGAGCGCGGGCAGCTCCTGGTCGAGTTGCCGAATGACATGGAACCAGTATTTGCGTGCGGACATGACCTGATCCAAGGTCAGAACCGGTGGTGGTGCCTTGGGATAGTGCCACGGTCGATTGGGATTGGCTTGCCACTGCACAAAGTCTCTGTACGGTGCAATGCCCGTGGGAGACGTTTGTTGACTGATTTCTTCACTTGGATACCACATGTGACCCAAGGTTTCGCTGTAATTTCGTGGCAAGCAGGAATAGGGCAGCAGTGGATTGTTGGCGTGTGTAACAACCAGCGTTCGGTTGACCCAGTTTTCAATGACACCTCCAATCACAATGGAGACACTGCCCTGTATGAATTTGGTCCAATGCAAGAGGAGTCCTTGATCGGCCTGGGCTCCATCAAAGTCCCATTCATTGCCTGATTTCCCCGAGAGTGCTTTCCAAGTGTCATTTTTGGAAGGATCCTCTTCATTCGCGAAAGGAATACCCCAACCCAGCGAAGCTTTGAACGAGTACCAGAACCAACTCCACTTGGAAAGTTCGTGCAAAAAGGTAGGAAAGTATCCTGGTTTTGGTGTCAACACGAAGAAGGCCCCCGAGGCCGGTGTATCTCCAATGGATAGAATCACGTTTTCTTGCAGAATGGCTTGGGGGCCATAACTGAGTTCCATGAGATAGTCTAAATTGCAGAGCGGCATGACATCCGCATCCAGGAACAAGACTCTGTCATACTGAACCAACTCTAGTATCCGAAACTTCTCCAAGACCAAGGTACTGAACTCATTGACTAGAGACGGCGTGGGGGGCAAGTATTTGACAGTGACGTTGAGTTGTTGGAACAATTGATAATCTTGAGGAGGCAGTTCTTGAAATGTGGTGGAGGCAGTGTGTACAAATAGCACAAAATCAGCTTTGGATCCAGAATCTTGCAATATTTTGACACTGACCAAAACGTTGTAGAGCAGACCTCGATATGCATCCTTGGGCTGTTTTTGAAACTTTTCGTTTCCAAAAGCAGATCCTGAGGTATCCTCTGTGGGTATCCCTGCCAGCAAAAAGGCATAGGCAAATTTGGGTTCTCTTCGGTTAGTCTCGTCTGCACCACCAAAGGGGCGAATGAGTTTGGCTTCCTGCAGGATGACACTGGCCAAGCTAAAGTTCAGTGAGGCATAGTATCTGCCTAGGTTATGTAGAGTGTAGAGCAGGAGCAGCAAGGCAATGCCCACCAGCATGACTTGCCGTGGTTTGGCCGTCATTGCTTTTTGGAGCAGCGACGACTGCCGCGAGTCCCGTGAGTTGGGTCGAGTGGGTCGAAAGTTCGCAGGAAACGTGCCGTCATGGCTTCGTTCTCTTTTTGGAAGCCTTGGCCTGGGACTCGTAGCGATATTATTATTATTATTGTTATTGTTATAAGCGCTGCCGTGGCTTTTGGATCGTCGCACTGGAGTACCGGTATTGCTCCTGGTGCCGTTGGAGCTCTTGTTGTCCATGGTGGCTTCCATTGTCATGGCTAGCATATTATTGTGGCTGTTCCATGGCATCGATCGATCACATAATAAGGCGACCAGACAGAGACAAGCATGTCATGGCCCTTGCTTGTAGATGGGTCGTGTGGGTTGAGGAAGGTTCTGGAGAAAGAGTCTGCGTTGAATCACATACAATTTCAAGACTTAATGAGAACCCTGTTTGTTAATGCTTTCACTTGCGTCCTATTATGTCCTACGCTGAGCACATGTATTCTATACCTGTAGGAAAGCTTACGGTACAGTACCACTAGCTACTAGTAGCAAGCTAGCAAGTGTAGTGCTGGTCACCAGCTACGGTAGCTATCATAGCCCTGCAAGAATGATGCAGGAGCCGCATGTACCGGTATAGTTACAAAGGAAAGGGCAGGAGCGGTTCGGTTGGAGGGGCAGCAACCATGTTTGGCATGCTTCGGAAAGCCTCACTCTTGTCATACTTACTGGTCAGGGATCCTCATAGATTGTTGATATCAATGAACTCTCTATCGGGATTGCAATGATACTACGGTAGCCTACGATCGAGTTTGCTTTGAAGGGAGTGCTGGACTCGACTCGACTTAGCTTCTCAGAAGTGAAGTGGGGAACAGTCTTGCGAAGAACAAACGAAGTGTGGCCCTGTCCCGCGCGATACCATGCACGACGGCTTCAGATTATCCGAACAACCCTTATTTTAGCAGCAATAGTTCTAGTAGATTGCGGATGCCTCAATTCACATGGAACGTGACTTTCGCACAGCTGCTTGTGCTCGATCGTACTGTACCCAATGCCCAGCCGAAGCCCCGAGTTTTGCTACCTGTATGCATGGAATGCCTAGCAGAGTGACGAGGACAAGTGGCAGTCTAGTAGCGGAAAGATGCACATGTTATGTAATTTTCTGGCTACACAAAACAAAGCAGAGCTTGACAATCTGCTATTGCCAAAACGTAGCTGCAGCTAAGCCTTGTCTGGGCCCACTCGAGATATATCAACGAAGCCACTAATTTTGGTTTTTGTTGCCCATTCTACTGGCAGCGGCGCAGGGGCAATCACAACCACAGAGCAGATTTGAACAGTCAAAAAACAAGCCGTGAACTGGATTGCATTGGTCCCAAGAAATGCTGATACAAGAGCCATTCATGTTGCAAACTGCTTCCGGAATAGTCCCAGACAACCTCGGATTCCCATCCAATGTAAGGGTATGCAATGATGGCTGAAGAGAAGCCAGCTCTTGTGGAAACAACCCAACAAGAGAGTTGTTGGCAAATGTGAGATGACCAATAGAGGAGAGTTGGCCAAACTCGCTGGGAATGGGACCCGTGAATTGATTTCCCTGGAATTCTAGCTCATGAAGCCGTGACAGAAGCCCAAGCTGTGTAGGGATGGTTCCCCCAAAAAAGTTGTTCTTCAGATTAAGTGAAATGGTAAGGTTTGTCAGGAGACCATATTCACTTGGCACTGCTCCACTCAATTGATTGCCCCATAGAGAAAGCAGTGTCGATGTTGTCAATTTCCCCAATTCTGTCGGCAGGGTGCCATGAAATTTATTATTCCGAACCGAAAAATGCAGTATCTTTTTCAGGAGCCCTATCTCGGTTGGAAGTTTGCCCGACATTTGATTGAGAGCTACAATCATCATTTCAAGATGCTGTAGTTGGCCAAGCTCTTTTGGGAGAGTTCCTTGAGACAGAAAAGAAATCTGTAAGTCCTGCAAAAGAAGTCACAGAAATGTCAACCAAGCAGGCAAACAAGATCTTACCAGAGAGATCACACCTATCCATGACCAGCCACCTCAGCTTTTCAATCTTCCCCACCTCAGTGGGTATGCTTCCTTGCAGCTCAGGATTCACTTCCAAGCCAAAATGAGACAAGTTTGTCAACTTCCAAAATTCCAATGGCATGGTTCCTTGAAGATCACAGTTACGGCACGAAAGGACTTGAAGGTTTGTCAAAAATCCAATTTCCGAAGGAATGGCTCTAGTGTCCTTCATGTCTGAAGAGACAAGCCCTTCCAATGCTGTCAGCTGTCCAATGAGAGTTGAGATTGTCCCATGAAGCGTATTGAAGGCACTGGAAAAGGTCTTGAGATTTGACAACAAAAACAGCTCTTCTGGAAGCGTCCACACAAGGTTGTTTCCATCCAACCACAAGTGTTGGTACAAGCCATCTGGACCACAATGTGAATCTGGCATTGGTTCCAGAAAACCAGTCAAATATCCGTTGTAGATACTTGATACCAAAAATTTTGCACCAAAGTCTGGTTTGTTGTACCATTTGCACTCATCCATGTCATGGTGGAGCCAACCATTTTTGTCGGTCCAAAGGTCACCTCTTGTGGCATAGTAGAGTGTGACGAGGGCATATCTTTGCTTGATTTGGTCCTCCGATGAAGAGGGCAGGAATTCCCTGTCTTTGAGCAACCAATGCCACGCTTTCGATTGCGGAGAGTCAGCTTCTTCAGATATCATGATCATTGTGTGATTTGGCAAGAGAGACATCAAGTAGGCATTCATGGATGTTGGCATTTGCGATGGCATGCTGCTTGGGGCCGCCAATCTTGGTGACTCTGTATTCCCGGTATTTGTATTGACCTTTCTGGGAATGAGAATAGCCAGAAGCAGAATCATGAATGTGGTGAACACGATAACTGCCAGAAGAATTTTGGTTTTGAATTGCTTCATTGACTCTTCTTTCTGTCTGAGTGAGGAGTCCATATCAAACTCTGCGGCTTGTGGCAAACATGGTGGTTCCGTCTCTTCATCCTCGGATACCATTGCAGCCACTGCCAGTCCCTCCGGATTTTCACTGGCTGAAATGTCATTGGAGGACTCATCAGGATTAGGATTTGGTAGGGAATCAGGTTCCATAGCGGAAGCCTCTTGAGTATCGTCACGGTGTTGGTCTCGCTGTTGAGCCTCCATAGAAGCACTTGGGACTTGATTTTGCTGGTGCTCCTCTGCCATGGCGTTGCCTTCCGTAGTGTGAGGAGAAGCTGCCACTCCTAGGAGCGAGTAGCGGGCATTGCGGGTTCTTTGCAGGTTTGTGCCAGGTGCCTCCAAGTAGGCCCCGGGACGTATCATAGCAGGAGCCACATTTGGCCCGCGTGTCAGAGATGGTCGAGGAACCGAAAGCCCTTCCGTTACTGCATGTACATGTAGTAGATCCTGTCCGACGTTTTTAGGCTGAATAAACTGCCGAGCTTCCACCATTTTTGCAATTTCATCAGTGTCGAGAACTAGGCTACGAACCACACCATCCGTTGGCTGACTGCCGCCGCTGCCGCTAGCGCTAGCGTTACCTGTACCATAGATATCCAAATAGGCTTCTTCTTGGGTCCAGTCAGCTGGTCTCTTGCTACTAGTACATGTAGCAGTTGGATTCTTTGTTTGGTCAGCAGTCAATTTCTGATGCTCAGCCTTTAACCTGCTGTCATTACAATTGGCACTGCATGTAGCAGTATCCATAGGGTTAGATAACCGAGGTCGTACTACGTGCTCGATAATGTCAAATTCGTCCGACGCTTCTCGAGATCTCGATCTAATCCCGTTCGATCCGGAACCATCTGCTGTGGCATCTGCAGTGGCTTTTGCTGCAGATTTCTTCTCCAGCTTATCAGATTCCTTCATCCTATTGCTCGATCTACTAGCTAGCTAGCTAGCTACTATAGCTAGACTATGTGTTATCAAACGTATCACCCACTTTGCACACTTGCACAAGCGGTACTATAAAATAAGAGTGCACTTGTTTCTTTCAAGTGTGCCCTTTCAAAAACTGTTATTATTGTGATGTTGTGATGACAAAAACGATTTGGTAGTTGTGGTAATCCATAGGTTAACTTTATGTTCAATAACGATTTTTCAATCGAATCGGTTACCACAGCTACCTGAATCCAACAATGTTCTAAACGAATCGAGTGAATCGAATCGAATGCGGATTGAGGAGCTGCGGTAAGGTTAAGGAGTAATTTGAATCCACGTTCTCACACCACGCTTCGTCGTAATGGCAGTCAGAGCTACAAGGCCTGGTTGAAGCTGGACCATTAGATTTTAGTTGTTACGCCCGGACATCTCTTTATCGCGATGTCGCCCGTATTCGGTTCGAGATCAACAAGAGGTGCATGTCTCGACATTGCTTGTGAACAAGCGCCTGATGGTCTCTTCGACGTTCGTTCCATGTCCACACGAGGGCGGCTTTACGATATCGAAACTGAATTACTCGTTCCTGCGCCGACCGGATACGAAAGAGGTCCTTCATTGTTGTGGATAGGATACGCTACTATACCGGTACTAGTGTCTTAGCTAGCTAGCTAGCAGCCATGCGATGCTAGTGGGCGTTACCTTTCCGCAAAACAACGTTTCTTGGGTCATTGGAGCAGCGTTCTTGAGAGGGGTTAATAATCGCAAAAAACAAAAGGCTTGTGGCAGTCCGATGGTTTCATCAAGTAAAACTAACATAATCAGAGACTGGAGGAAGTAATCGGGAAGGTTGGGTCTGGCGCTAGCTACCCACGGAGCAAGAATGTAGAAACTAGTTGAAGTCAGTCCAATTCGGCCACCAAAACTCTAGACTCAGATTTTTTCAACCAAATAAAGATCGTTCGGAACGGCTCTTCTCGAGATGAATCCCTCCGGTAGTTCTATCAGCGCATTCTTGCTCCACCCTACCGTATCCATTTTGTTGTCTGTATCTCTCAGTATATTCGCGATGTATCTGTCTGCTGGCAGGTACCGGTATGCTCATCCTACTCACACAAGCAATCACATCCGCACAAAGCACTGGAACAGTCAAACAACAAACCATGGGGCTCCTCACATGGGTCCAAGTTGTTTGGCTTGCAGGTTCCACTAATGTTGCAGAGATCCGATGGAACAGTGCCAGTTAGGAAAGGGTTTCCTTTGATGTTCAATGTATGGAGAGCTGGCGGTCCTTCTTCTGATTGTAGCAAGAGCTGCCCAAGCTGATCTGAAACTGGACCAGAGAAATGGTTGTTTTCCAGTGAAATCTCACCCAAATTTGAGAGGAGGCCAAGCTCCGATGGAATCTGCCCCGAGAGGCTGTTGTTGGCAAGAACCAGGGAAACTGTGAGATTGGAAAGGAGACCAAGTTCACTGGGAACATGGTCAGTGAGCTGATTGTAACGAAACGACATCACCAGTGATGATGTCAAAAGTCCCAACTCGGTGGGCAATGCACCCTCCAGAGCATTCTCAAACAATCCCAGTATCTGCAGCCTGGCGAGCCGTCCCAATTCACTAGAAACGTTTCCAGAGAGTCTGTTTGCGTGCAACGTAATCCATTCTAGGGCTGTTGCTTGGCCTATTTCAGAAGGGATCGTTCCTGAGAGATTTGAAAGAGAGCAAGCATGTAAGACTCCAGTTTTGTAGGCATGTGCACAAGAACAACAGGGAAAATGTCTGCGGCATTCGCTTACCAGACATGTCACATTCACCCAAGTTGAAGTGATGGAGAAATTGAAAATTTCCAATCTCTGTTGAGATCGTGCCTTTCAAATTCTGATTGCGGATAAGAGAAAAAGTCTGCAGATTGGATAGCTGCCACAATTCGGTTGGCATGGTCCCATCATGGTCATTGGCAAATAGTGCCAACGAATTCAGTTTCGTCAAGCCACCAATTTCAGATGGTATGGATCCGCCACGGCTGATGAAACTAATCCCCAATCCCTCCAGTTGGGTCAACTGTCCAATTTGACTGGGAATTGGGCCCTGCAGTTCCTTGTTGAAACTTGCGGACAGAGATGAGAGCGATGTCAGTAGAAACAGCTCATCTGGCAGCGACCCCACAAGATTATTTTGATCCAACCACAAGTGTTGGTACAGTCCATCTTCATCACAAAGGGCATCCGGTTGTTGGACCTCCTGGAAGACACCAGGGTACAAACCGCTAAAAAATGATGTCATGCCAAATTCTTGTTTTGTGTACCATTCGCATTCATGGATACTGTGGTTAAGCCAGTTGTCATTATGGGTCCATGATTCCCCAGCAGTGGCAAAGTACAATGTGGCAAGGGCAAACTTTTGCATGATTCTGTCAATGGATAATAATTGTAGAGAGTCTCTGTCTTGTTCTATGAGCCACTGCCATGCTTTGGACTGAGGCGACTCGCGGTTTTGCTGGATAGATAGGATGGAGTGCTCTGGCAAGAAAGACATGATGTAGATGTCGAAGGCAGTGGGCATTTGTGAAGGCATGCCAGTAGGAGCGGGAGCCGTTGATGGTTCTGTGTTGGTAGCAGTACTATCCTTGCTGCTAGGAATGAGAATTGCCATCAAAATGATCATGAGTAATAATGCCAGGAACAAAGTGCCTCCCAGAATAATTCTGTTTCGGAATTGTTTCCTTGCTTGTAGTCTTCGTTGCGTGGATTCGTCCATGTCAAAATGTGCAGCCCGTGGCAACTGATGGCGCATTGCTTCCTCCTCATCCTCTGGTACCATTTCTGCCACTGATAGTCCTTCTGGATTTTCATTGTTGGTTGGACGGTCGGCGTTGGGTGTTGTATCTGTAGTATTGCCTCTGGGGACAGGCTGCAGGCAAGCTGTATTTGTAGGGTCTTGTTGCTGCTCAGTACTGAGCGCACCGTTGTGGTTGCCAACAGGTTGACCCTGCTTGAGTGTTCGCTGCTCGTCCTCCCCTGCCATGATTTCTTGTCTTATTTGAGTGACATCTGGAGATGAAGTAACGCCCAGAAGAGAGAATCGTGGTCGTAGGTTCCTTTGTGGACTTGTACCAGGGGCTCCTGCATAGGCCCCAGGGACATGCTCATGCTCACATGTGCCTGCAGTGGAAGATGCCTGTTTTGGATTGTTTTGAGAACATTGTTCTTCTTGGGCATTGTCATTGTCAGTGGAAGGGTGTTCTGAGTTTCTTCTTAAGAGCTGTCGGGCTTCCACAATTTTGGTAATTTCATCATTGTCCAGATTGAGTCCTTCCACTGGTGAAGACCTGCGAGTCTTGACTCTTCTTCTCACAGCCCTAGTACCTGTAGCAGTAGCTGTAGCTGTAGCTGTAGCTGTGGTACCGGTACCTGCATGAGTATTGGATTTTGAGTGGTCTGAAGTTTCTGTCTTTTTCAGAATTTCCATCCCATTTTTGTTTTCTGCCATTCTTTGACGCTCTGCTTCTTCTCTGCTGACATGGGTACGGTTAAAGGTACTAGTACCGGTAGCATTGGTACTACTAGTACATGTACATGTACCGGTACCAGTCTTGGCGTGTACCTCTGTGTTACTAGAAGGCTTCTTCAGCTCTTCAGATTCCTTCATCTCCATTCATTAAAAGCAAGCAACATCTATTGATGGGTCCTGCACATCACACTATCAACACAACAGATCTGACATCCAAGAAATGGCTTCCGTCGATCGATGAGGTTCGGCGGGATCAATGGCCAATGTCAATGGCCATCGACAATGCGTTGCGTTCCAGCCTCAATTTTGGGTACCGGTAACGGTACAATAAGGTTAACGATAAGCGAACGTCGAGGACGCGCGGTACGAGATCGAGATCGAACAGAACCAAGGGTCGAGATGCTTCAACTCCCCCGAGAGCGTAAAGCTGGTTATCGCAGCATGGTGGTCGCTACGGTAACTATAGCAATCGACTTTTCGACGCTATCTGGCTCAATAGTGTTGTTGATTGAAGTCGTTTCGAATTGCAGGATGGCCATCGTACCGGTATAATCGTTGGTGCTGTGACGGAGCTCAGAAAAGGTAGTGGGGCGGTTATTGTTCGACCCCGTACTGTATGTCGCGATCGAACATGTCGATGCATTGGGAATAGTCTAGCTCATAAGATCCCAGTAGTCATGCAAATCCTCAAAGGGCATGAATGTGTACCTAGTACTGAAAATACACTTGCAGAGATCGACAACCGACCGGCCCAACGAGGCCTGAACCTCTACGCAGCTTGCCAACGTTCGCTCTGTGGTTCTCGCAACCCACCTACCGCCAAACATAGTTTGCCTGCATGATCGACATCACTGTTGCAGCAGTCCTCAATTGGTGGCATTTGCTCGTGCGTACTGGTTATCATTAAAGCAATACCAATGAACGAGAGCAGCGAAAGAAGTCAAGGGGCTCCTCCAAACGCTTTGGGACTGCTACAAGTGGAGGCATCGTCCAAGCGAGCCGTTAGGCAGCCAAAGTTGAGCCAAGTGGACAACGCAGGTGACGTTGAGCACCTGAATCATCGCAATCGCAATATATGGACCCCATGCGAGTAGGCATTCGGAGCAGCTGTGTGGCATCCAAGTCGAATCCTTCTTCGAAAGCTCCTGTCAACTGTAACTGCAGCTCGTCTTGCCGGGCCGCGACAAAATTGCTCAGCTGCATGCTTGACACCCGACGAACCTCACAGCTCGTTCTCAACTATCATCACAGCCATAGCTTCGAAATTCGAAGTGAAACCAAGCCAAAAATCACAGCCTACAGCATTGTGGCCGGTGAGCAGACTTGACTGTGGGAAATACCCGGGCCTCGGCTCATGGGTCCTCCTCAAGTACATCTTGTCTGACAGCTCCTTCTCAAGTATCGTCATAGCTATAGCTTCGAAACACGGGGTGAAGCCGAGCCACAATCACAGCCTACAGCATTTTAAAAATGTGCAACCTAAAATTGAGTTTGCCAGCTACTCTAGCTATCCTATTTGGCCCAACAGGAGCAACCACAGCCACACAGCACGCCGGTGCAATCAAAAGACAAGCCATAGGGACCTTGGCATTCATAAAAGTAATCTCCAATGCAGGTGCCACTGATATTGCAAATACTTGAGGGGATTGTGCCATATAACCTAGGATTGCCTTCCAGAGCAACAGTGTGCAGCGTTGGTTGAAGACTAGTGAGCTCCGAGGGCACATTCCCAGACAGACCACTGTGCGCAAGATTCAACTGTTGTAGGTAGCTGCATTCGCCAAGTTCTGACGGAATTTGTCCGGCAAAGAAATTGTCGGAAGCTGCCAACGAAGTAAGGTTAAGCAAACCAAGCTCACTTGGTATTGACCAAGACATGACCTGCATGGGGTTGAGGGCGGGAACGCGTGAGGACACCATCTTGCAAGCAGTCGCCAATACAACAAGCTTTATACGTACGTTGTGGGAAACATCCAATATTCGCAAGCTGCTGAGTGCGCCGATATCCCCAGAGATGAAACTGTTGAACTTGTTGTTGGCAAGGTCCATCACAACCAAATTGTCAAGTTGCCCGAATCCGAACAGGATAACCCCAGAGAGGCTGTTGTTCCGAAGCTTGAGTTCGACAAGGCTCGACATGCTGAATATTTCAATCGGCAAAGTCCCCGAAAACGAATTGGATCCAACATCGAAGCGCTTCAACTTGGCTAGCCGCCCCACTTCGGATGGAACCCTTCCCGTAAGAAACGGGTTGTCTTCCAAGAACAAAACTTCCAAGTCTGTGAGGAGTCCCAACTCAGAGGACAGCGTACCCGTGAATTCATTGATTCCAAGATACAACCGATCCAGTTTCTGCAACTGAAACACTTCCGAAGGAAAAGCTCCAACGAGGTGGTTCCTACTCACGGCAAGGCCATTCAACCCTACAAGGTTTTGGACTGAAGGTGGTATCGTTCCAGTCAGTTCGTTATCATTCAAGAAGAGCTCTTTCAGGTTTGTCAATAGACCCTATGATTCATCAACGCAAGTACAGGCAGAATGCACAAGCAATAGTGAGACGTTTTCTTGCGTGCAACCAACTGCGGCGGAACCTTCGCGCTCTTACCAGTTCAGAGGGCACTCTTCCTTTCAATCTATTGACTGCTAACCCAATGCCATCAAGCTGCATGGGGTTGAGGACAGGAACGCGTGAGGACACAATCTTGCAAGCACTCTCCAATACGACCACCTCTACGTACGTTTGTACAAAGCCCGATTTCGGTTGGAATGCTGCCTGTGATGTCAGCTGTGATAATGGCCAGCAACTTGAGGTCTGGTACTTTGTGAAAGCACGACGGGAGTGTCCCGCCTAGTTGAGGCTCGGCTGTCAACACGATCGCTTGCAACGACGATATCCAGCAAACTTCTTCTGGGATGGTTCCTCTCATATTGTTCACCGACATTTGCAGCTTTGTAAAAGCATTGCTGTCGTTATTGTTTGTACAGGCTGGTTCATCCCAAAAGGCAGACACAAAATCAGAGTACTCCAATATGATTCCCCGCACACCAGGCGGAACCTCAGAACTGTACCAAGTGCACTCATGATGAGAATAGTTGAGCCAGTTCGTGCTCTTTGTCCAGCCTGGTCCTCCCGTGGAAAAATAGAACACAGCCAATGCCATGCGCTGTAGAACTCGCCATGGCGGATAACTGAATAGATTGGGATCCATGGCTGCCCACTCAAAAGCTCTGTATAGAGGGGTACTGGTGTCTCGTAGAGCTTGTTGGGTATTGCTTGGCAGAATACTCTTGAGATACTCTTCTGGAGGCTTGTTGGGTGGTGCGGTTGCGTCCGCCTCCATGTTGTCCGACAGCTCCATACTCGTGTTGCCGTTATCGTTATCGATCATTGTCATTGGTGTTCTCTTTGGACAACACAATTCCCAACACAATGGCTATGATCCCTACCATGGCAAAAAGCACCATAGCTCCCAGAATGAAGTGTGTCTTTCTGCGTCGTTGCTGCTTTTGTTCTTCCTGGGTTCTATCTTCAGCGACAGGATCAAGTTGTTCGGCCTTTGGTAGTGATTCATAGAAGGAAGTCACTTCGTTCTCTGCAATGGGATTTGCCACGACGAGCGACTTGACTTGACTGCTGGAGCTCCTTCTTCTGTCGGCGGAATGGTTGCTGCCAACTGGATCTTCTTTTTTGGCAGAAGGGTTACTGCCATTTTTTTGATCTTCAGTTTCGGCAAGTTCAGTGCTTCGTCGGACAAAAGAACAGTATCTCAGGGGTGCGGGTGCTTGCCTAGTGAGTCCATCTTGGTCAGCAGAAAATGCTCCAGGTGTGAGTGCATCTGAATTATGATTGTTGGAAACATGACAGGCACCAGGAGTACTGGCATCACTGGTTTCTGCCACTGCATTGTTTGCTTGCCTTTCTTTGACAATGGATGGCAAGGGAATTTGTCTCTTTTCATGTTGCAAAATTCTGGAATTGGTGGCAGCAGGATCATCACTGCCAGCAGAAGCATTTGGGTTCCTGTTGCTGGACGAATCTTTCCCCAGTCTTGAATAGTTGTTCGAGCTGTTTGTGGATCCACCGTTTTTCATTTCTTCTGTTGGTGCTTGATTACTATTAATTGTGGTTTCTGAGCATTCGGAGCTGTTTTCCGAGTGCTGCAGTTGTTCTTGTCTTTTGCTGCCATGGTCTCTTGGATAGGAGACCAGCTGTTTGGCTCCTTGCAGGATAACCGAGTCTTCTCCGGCAGTCGATTTTTTGACATATTCTGGGTTTGCTCTCTGGGAACATGGATTTCGGTTTTTGTTGGTGTCCTCTGCAATGGCAGCAACCGTTGCTGGGGTGCCCTGCACTATAGGAGTAGCATCGGCGGTGGGTGCATCGGTAGCAGCGACAGCTGCAGAATTTGCAGCGGGAGCAACATTTTTTGCTGCACTTCTTCCATTTGAAATAGCCTTTCTCTTTTTGATGGCATCGTCGGCAATGGCAGCAGCGGTAGCGGGTGTACCATGTACAACAGGGGTAGCATTGACTGTTGGTGGTGAGGCGTTGGTAGCAGTGGCAGCTTTGGGAGTGGCAGCAACAGGAGCATTCTTTGCTTGATTATGTCCATTGAAATTGGTATTTCTATTTTTGATGGCATCCTCCACAATAGCCAAAGACGTGGCTGGTGTACCTTGGACAACAGGGGTAGCATTGGCTGTCGGTGCCGGGGTATCAGTAGCAGTGGCAGCTTTGTGAGTGGCGGCAACAGGAACAATTTTTGCTTGATTAATTCCATTGAAATTGACACTTTTCTGTTTGATGCCGTGCTCCACAATAGCCAAAGAGGTAGCAGGGGTACCATGGACAACGGGGGCAGCATTGGCTGTATCTAGCTGGGTTCCCTCTTTGGCTGCAACAGTTTCTTTGGGTCGTCCTTTGGGATAAGCTAAGGCTCGTTTTGCCTCGGCCAGTAGAGTTTGGTCACTTGCTTCTCCCTCTAGTTCTGCTTGTTTTGGGGCTTGTGAAGGGATGGTAGGTGATGGGTGTTCTCGGTGCTGATCTTGCAGTTCATCTATAAATTCATCGTCTGATGCACTCTTCTGTCTTTCTTCAGTTTTAGTGGATTTGATAGAATCAGACTGAGAAGTAGATGACATGGTTATCACCATGGATAGCTTAGGCTCTGGCTGAAGGGGTAAAGACTGCTCGATGGGCGGCATGACCACGATCTCATCTTCTCGGCAGACCAATGCACTTAGCCGGGGTAGCCCCTGCTCAGGTTCAACGATTATCTCATCTGCTTCCTCTATTAGTTGCGCTGAATCAGACATCCTTAATCCAAACTGGGTAGGTAGCTAAAGATAGCTCTGTAGATGCTGTAGAAGTATATGTTGATCCTGCTTCTTATTGTGTTGTGGTTACTAGGTAGGTTGGCTCGTTGGCTGTCCTGAGCAGTACCGGTACCACCCCGCCGGTGCGACGATGGCAGCGTCAGCCAGAATAAACGCACAACGGGTCATTGGAGTAAACATGCAATTCAATGTCTGCATATTTGCATTAAAACGGTTATTACCATATCTACCTGAATGATAAAGCTGACCTTCTGCGGATTTTTAAACGCGCTAAATAAGCTTTTTTGCCAGAGAAAACAAGATTGAGTGACAGTCATATTGCGGGGTAGCATTGTATGTGCATGCTGGTACCAGGTACCATGGCTGTGGCTCCGGACTAAGTTAGACTATACACGTACCCTGTTAGTTTCAGATATGAATACCAGTAGCCACAGAGGTGCCTCGTCGGAAGCTCTAGCCACACTATCAGGACCACTTTAATCGGCTGACAGAGGAGAGGTGCATGCAGGACGAGTGCGTTGTTAAAAGACCACGTTTATTTTTGAAGTCCGGTTTTATTTAGAAGGCATTCTAGCTAGAGACTACAATTCGTAACTAAAACTTAGGACGAACGAATGACGATCATTCACTACTAGTATCCCCGAACTCGTTCAGGGCCGCCAGGAAGCCACCAACATACCAACACCACTTCAGCCAATAATGATGCAAACCGGCGTCCTGCTCCCCCGCCCGTCAATTCTCCCATGCTTCAAGAAGCCAAGGATCGCATTGCGTACCCATCAACACGAAAGAGGTATACAAGGACACAAATTACCCCACGGACACGCAAGAAACCATCGAACACGTGTACGAACAGGAAGCAAGAGAATCGGAGATCTTGCAACAAGCCAAACCCCAAGTACCTTATCCACGAGCCGAGGCGTGCAGCACAGCCAGGCGCTTTTGCAGAAGGCAACAATCGGCTAGAACATACGTCGCTGACTCGCCACAACGATGATGACACCAGTCAAGAACCCCCACAAAGGTCTGACACACACAATGGGATCTAATCTTCTAATAACTTGTTTCGTTTATGTACAGACTTTTAGGACAAACTGGGAACATATACCGGTATATTGGAGGCAGCGAACTGTCTCAAGATGCCGACTGGTATAGCCGGCCGGATCAAATCTAGCTAGCTAGACCTCAACTTCAGTTTCGACTTGCAGAGGATCAAAATGATCAAACGTGATGGTTTCCAAGGGAAGGTTTGAAGCAGAAGGAGTGGCTCGAGGAGACGATTCAGCATTCTTGTTTTTGTTCTTGTTGAGCATCTTGCTCACCCAAAAGTGCCAATTGCCAAAATCACCCGTGGGGCCCATAATCGATAAGACCGCGGGGAAGAACGTCAAGGAATAGATGGCGGACAGGGTGATTGTGACAAAGATAAAGGCGGCAAACTTGACAAAGAAGACGACAGGGGCAAAGAACATGAAGAAACTGGCACCCAAAGTCGACAAGGAGGAAGATAGCACGGAGATTCCCATTTCCTCAAAGGTGTGAATCACACGTGGGAACCGCTCGGTCGAGTGGGACTTGGTGTAGGCTTCGCTCATGTGCACGCAGTAGTCAATGGAAAGACCAATCACCACCACGTAATTGACGGCTTCCAGGATTCCCAGGCTCCAACCCATCAACACTGTAAAGGCAAACACGTCGACCACAATCAGGCAAATGGTAAAGACACTGAAAAAGGCCATGATGGGGTTGCCTCCAACCACGGCAAGAATCACAAATCCCAGACCCAATGCCAGGTAAATGGAGGAGTAAGTTTCGTCAATAAGCGTTTCACTCAAGTAGTAAAACGCCCAAGCTCCGTTCGACGTTTGCATTGTCCCCGTCATTTCACGAGGACCGGCTTGTTTCATCTGTCCGCTCCAAGAATCCCAAAGCTCGTACAGCTCAATTCCATCTTCGTAGCTCAAGCCAAAGTCTTGCTCCAGCGTAGCCTTCGATGAGATGGACAACAATACCAAATCGCGTTCTGGAACATGACGGCACGAGAAATCTTGAGACTCGATTTGGTCCTGTTGCTTGTCGGTGAGTTCGTCCGTCTGGGCCACAAAGATTTGATCGTAGTACTTCTCGTAATTGGTCAGGCGAGTAGTGGGGTCAGCTTGGGGATCAAACAAGAACTGCTCTAACAAGGCTCCGTAGTGCTCGGACGGGACCGGGTAGGGCTCGCAGGAGTTGCCCTCCGTGTCCCAAGTGGTGCAACCTTCTCGGAGCCGGGTCTCTTCGTAGCAGGGAAGCGACACGTTGGTTAGAGCCGCACATCCATTATCCGTCAAGAGCCAATCGCGCATGCCTTGGGCGGGACACGACAGCATGGAGTAGTAGTTGAAGTCACTGGGTTCGATCAAATCGGATATGATACGTCTCGCACGGGGTCCCTTGGCTCCATCCTGAACAAAGTCCGCGTTGCCTCCATGGTATTCGGTGACGTTGCCAAAGAACATGTCATGGCAAGTTTGCAAGCCCCAGACTTGGGCGGCAGGAGTAGATGGGTCATACGCATTGCAGTCCACGTAGTTGCTCACTCCGTAGTCCGTTGTGTTGGTGTCGACTGTACCAGTTCTGTCAATGGGTTCATCCGGGTTGATTCCAGAGACCCAGTAAACTTGAATGGCTGTTGGGTTGCCAGCTCGTGCAAAGTTTTCCAGCAAAACATCAGAGTACTGGACATAGTTGTTGGAATCGGGGAGGATTTGAGGGACTTCATGAAGGCAAAGAAAGAGCGGATAAGGGTTAGCACAAGAAAGACGCTGTGCACTCATGCATTTGTAAAGTAAATCACTGCAGTCAACTTACTGTCTTCTTCTGGCTCTAGTTGACCCATCAAGTACAAGGCTCCACCAAAGACTCCCAGGAAGAAGATGACAATCAAGAAGCGGAACTTGATCACCATGGGTCCCCAGGTTTCTCGAAAGAAGGTGACGAGTCCTCGAGAGTCACCTTGGCGGCTTTCTTCGTCCGCCTGGGTTTGCGTTTCACTCACTTCCGTCCTCTCGACACCGTATTCATCACTGTCGTTCTCGTGGCTTGCCTTAACGTTGTCGTCGTTTGTAACCTCGGCGACCACAAAAATGTCGTCGGTCCAGGGGGTGGTATTGCAGCAGATGATACGGGAAGGATGGTCGTACCAGCGGTGCTTGATGTGCTTGAAATACACAGCGTAGGCAGAAGGGAAAAAGAGGATCACTGCGCAATAGTTCACAAGGACCAAGAGTGCCGCGAAGAGACCAAACGCGGCCACTGCAGGAAAGACTGAGACGGCATTTGACATGAAAGAGACAAAGGTGGTACAGCTGGTGTTGAAGCATGTCCTGGCAACCGTGTTGAAGGTCTTTTGCATGCGCTGATCAAATCGTTTCTCGCCCACATGATGGTTGAATTGATCACAGAACACAAAGAGGTTGGAAACTCCAATTCCGAGGATGATGTATACAGCAATTAGATTGAGGATTCCCAAGTAGGTTTCCTGGAAGAGGTATCGGTAAAGAAGGACACCAGGTAGAAAAGACAGTAGGATCTGCATGATACCGACCAGTCCAATAAAGATGGAATCTTGCATGTAGGTCAGGTACACGAGGACAAAGAAGATGGAAGCTGGGAAGAAGCTAAAGGAGACCATCGCGAGGTATCCTCCTTCGGCCATTGCCATTTGCCCTTCACTGTCCGAAAAGTACACATCTACATCGCCAAAGCTCGCTCCCTTCAGGTAGGTATCGAATTCATCCCAGAGCCACTGACCCGTTTCCTCGAACTGTTCATCTCGCGACTCGCTCGAGCTTGCATAGCCATGAATGGGCAAACCCAAGGGATACGACGAGATCAATCCAACTGCTTCGGTACTGCCAGTAGTAAACTCGGAGGAGACAACCTTGTGGAACATGTTGGGGAGCGTCAAGGAGGTTCCACCGGTCTGAGACACGGCGGTGGGGTAGCCGCTCAAATTAAAAGTTTTGAGTTCGGGAAACCCTGCCCAGTAGCTCACCACCGAAAAAATGTTGTCTTGTTCCAGGTTGTAATCCTGCGGGACGACATCGCTCGGCACCAGGTGGTATCCCAGTCCAGTTTCGTTGACGTAATCGTAGTAGAGGGGGTCCATAAAGTTGAGAGGCGACGAGATGCGGCGGCACGCAGCATGATTCATTTCGGTGGCACCAGCGGAATCCAAGATGGTGTCTTCCCACTCTTCCAGGTCACGGCTAGGAAAGACTGTGTAGTTGGAATCAATGAGATGACAGTACTTGGTCAGGTCTTGACTGGCGAGGATATGGTCTTCAATGTTTTGAATCTGCTTGAGGTTGTCCGCCGTCAAGATGTTGCGCTTGCGATCCTTGGAAACGAAAAGGACGTTGAGGGTATGAGTTCCAGCTCTCTGACAGTTCCTCGAGGGGGCGGGTCCTTGGAGGAGCGTCCCATTGCGCGTCAAGACAGTGGGGCTCTCGTGGACGCAGTCACCATTGGCGCCACTTCCAGATCCAATGGCGGCCACCCAATCGGCATCACGATTGGTGGCCTTGTAGGAATCTTCTCGTTCCTGGTTGATTTCGGCTCTGTCATAGAAAGGTACACCTAGTTCAAACTCCAAGGTTCCCACCGCCACGCTCAGGAAGACCAATGTGGCAAAAGTAAGGATCCACATCCCACACATAAAGGCGCAGGATTTGCAAGGCGAAGAGGTGGTGCGGCGCACATTGAACCAGACTGGAATGGCGTCACTGTCAACAGCCTTTTCAGGTGCAACATCAGGAGGCGGAAGCTCAGTTGACATATTTTCGACAGATGCCATGGTTTCAGGTTGGTTGGTAGCAAAGGATTGATTCGGTGTTGTTGGCTTTATAGTGGCGTTGTGAGATTGTTTATCGGGCTTTCTTTTTGTTCTTTCTTAGTTTCTTGCTTCACTCGGTTGAAATCTTGCTTTGTTCAGCTGGGTCTGGTTTCTGTACAGCTTTTTAAAAGTGTAGATGCTTTTGTTGTTTGGGCTTTGGAGTGATTTGAATTCAATGATCCAAATTGTGAGCATAGAGCCAATCTTTTGCGTCGGATCTTGGAAGTTGTACGTGAGGCATGTTGGGTCACCCGATGGCCGAATGGGCAGTGTTGTCAGCGTTCCAATGGAGGGGCACTATCCATCCATAAGTAACCCAAGTCGTGTGGTTCGATCGAACAAAACACAAAACACGGTGGCCGCTCAACTGAGCTCTAAGCCCTTAACCCTAAGCTCATGTTTTGGGATGTTCCTATGTGGGACAACCCCTGGATGACCAACTGCAACACCAATTTACAGCTTTGAAGGCTTCTCAATGCTCAAGATTGCTTGGCCTCGTCGTCTGGCTGGTTGCTTGCTTGTGTTGCTTGCTTGTGTGTACATCCATGAACAAGTCGACGAAACGATGACGTAGAGAATGAGATGGAGATGCCCCATGGTCCCGTCGGTTGGATCCACCTTCATGTCTTTGGCTGTAGTTTGGATCGTCGATAGTCTGACAACTTTGCTGGCTAGCAAGGACGAACCATCAAAAGGAGTGTAGAAGAGGAGATAGCATCATCGTGATAGACTAAAGAACGAAAACAGCGAAAGCTATACCCTTTTCTTTTCTTTCTTTTCTTTCCTCTCCCCAATGACGGCGTGCTAGCTAGCTAGTAGCGTTGGCTCGGCTCCGGATCCGATCTCGTCTGCGGGCTATCGGCTGTTGCTTTATGTTCCTCTGGTGGCTGGTGGCAATTCAATCGAATCGAATCGATTGAATCGAATCAAGGTCTTCCTTCCTTTATCCTTTATCCCACAAAGCTTGAAAGTATATGTTGGAGAATGTCCTATCCTTTAAGTCTCAATGTAAGAGAATGTCGTAGCATGTATGCGAATGTCCGAGAGTGTAAGCAAAATGTTGGCAGTGCAAGAAAGTGTCTGTTCTATCTATGACTTTGCTCTATTTAATTTGTTTTAATAAAATTAAATCCAACTTTTCTTTCGTCCTCGATTTTCGTCCTCGATTTCGTTTGAGTTGTCTTTGTTTTGCTTTGCTCACAATTTCAACTTTGCACAAGTACGGGAACAGTAATACGAGTTGCAGGCGTATTCTTCATTCCTAGCTAATATGCCTTTGGGGCCGATAGAAATCGCACCGCTCCCGATCTTTGTGTGGTTTTGCCCTGACAAACTTGTCGGCCCTCGAGACGAGCCGCCCACGAAGAGGCATCGGCAGCTCTAAACTGTTTCATTTTTGGTTGACTCTCAGATTCCTTCGCCAGTAGATACGGCATACTGTTGTCGCTGATGTGGCGCGGCGACATATGTACTGATTCCAGCCAGCTGGTTTCATGACGATGACGGTGCACGACGACGCTTCGAGGAGCCGCCTTCTGGCAGATCTTTTACCTGCGCCAGTGCTCCAATCAGGGTGGAAACTCTAGCAGGCTTTTTGCCTGGCATCATGAAAGTCTATGCGAGTACCTCCTTGTAAGCCACTTTCCTCCCCTAACAATGACAGCCGCAGCCACACAACAGATCGGAACATTCAAAGAACAACCCCTGTACTGGGTTGCATGTATCCATACCACTGCTGATGCAAGTGCCATTCAGAATGCATATTTCCTCAGGGATAGTCCCAGACAAAAATAAGTTTCCTTCCAATGTCAGTGTATGAAGTGTTGTCTGAAGAGCAGCAAGCTCTGTTGGGAGTTGGCCAGAAAGAGAGTTGTTGGCAAATGTGAGATGGCCAATAGAGGAGAGCTGGCCAAACTCGCTCGGGATACGACCCGTAAATTTATTTCCTTGAAATTCAAGTTCATGGAGCAAAGAAAGGAGCCCGAGCTCTGTTGGAATCGTCCCAGAGAAAGAGTTGCTGTGAAAGTTGAGAGAAATTGTCATTTGTGTAAGGAGACCAAGCTCACTTGGAACTTGGCCAACCAACAGATTCCCCCACAGTGAAATTCCATTTAACGTTGTCATCATTCCCAATTCTGATGGGAGGGTCCCAACAAGTGAGTTGTCAAAGATTGTAGTCACCAGAATGTTTGAAAGTTGCCCCAGCTCCGATGGAAGTGTGCCTGACAGTTGGCGGTTCCCAGCTGCAGTCAGCCATTCAAGATTCTGCAGTAGGCCTATCTGGGTAGGGATTGTTCCTGTTGAATTGGCAGTTCAATAATCCTCAAAAGTGAGCCTTGCAAACAAAAACAGACACAGAAGGACAAAATCATGCATACCAAACAGATCACACTGGTCAATGACAAGCCATCTCAACGCTGACAAAGCCCCAATTACAGTTGGGATTGTGCCTTGAAGCTCGTAGTTATGGCTTATGGATAGTGTATCCAGCTTGGTCAGTTGCCAAAGTTCAGTTGGGATGGTCCCTTGAAGGTTGCAGTTCCAGAGGTTGAAGATTTCAAGGTTGCTCAGCGACCCAATTTCAGTTGGAATGGTTCCGCCATCTGTTGAAAGGAAGAGCCCACCAAGTGCTGTCAGCTCTCCAACAAGAGTGGATATCTGACCTTGGAGGGAATTAAACCCCAGTGAAAATGACTCCAGTGTAGTTAGCAGATAGAATTCCTGTGGCAGTGACCCCACCAGATTATTCTGATCCAACCACAAGTGTTGGTACATCCCATCCTTGTCACAATGACCAAGCGGTGATGGTTCCATGTAGCCAGCCAGAAACCCTGGATAGAAGTGGGAGATGGTTGACTTTAAGCTAATCTGTGGATTGTTGTACCAGTTGCACTCATGGATGCCATGATCCAGCCAGTTGTCGTTGTTGTTCCAGCTGTCCCCACCAGTTGCAAAATACAGAGTGGCAAGTGCAAACTGTTGCTTGATTCTTGCCTTTGAATGGTTTGGGAGTGACGAATCTTTCAGCAGCCACTGCCAAGCCTTGGATTGTGGGGAATCAGGAATTTTGTCGATGGCTAGTTCAGAGTGCTCTGGCAAGAGAGACATCAAGTATCCTTCAAAAGTAGTGGGCATTTGTGATGGCATGCTGCTTGGGTTGGCAGATTTTGGTGGTGAGGTGGCTTCAGCAGATTCTTTGCCGGGAATGAGAATAGTGATCAAAATCATCAGTATTGCAATGAAGGCAATAATGCTAAGAAGAATTTTGGTCATGAATTGTTTCCTTGACTTTTCTTTCTGCCTTCGAGAGGTGTCCGCATCAAATTCCGCCGCATTTTGCAGTTCCTCTGGATCGTCTGAAACCATTTGGGCCACCGCTAAGCCCTGCATTGGGCCATGCTGACTCCTTGTTGATTCCTCCAAGGTGGTCCAAGGAAGGGATTGCTCATCTGCTAGATTGTTTCCTTCTGCGAAGGCCCCTGGTAGCAATTGTCTCCTGATGCGAATCTCTCTTTGCAGACTGGTTGGCATGGGCATAATCTCATGATGATCTGCTTCATCAAAGTTGTGATTTCCTGCATTGTGGGAGATATTCAGACGAACATGACTCTTGGAAAAGAAAAAGAAACGAACGTGACTCTTGGGACTAGTCTCACGGGTACTGGTACTTTCAGCTGTGGAATGAACAGATGCCGGCATGGGACTGTCATCGTCTGCTTCACCTCCATCATCACTCAAGTCTTCCATTGGCTGTACAAATGCAGCCACACTCCTGAGAGTATAACTAGGATGATTCATTCTCTTGAGTTCCATACCAGGAGCACTCGAGTAGGCACCTGGGGGATAATCGCCTTCTGCATCCAACATGGTTCCCTTGTTGTCTGCGTCGGTTGAAGGATCAGATGCTACTATTGCACGTTTGCTACTCCTTGGATAGTGGATTCCTGACTTTGCATCGTCGTGTAGGATGGAACCCGAGCCAAGTTGATTTCTACTAGATGTCTTGCATTTTGGAAAGACCACCTGTCTCTTTTCATGTGCCAAGAGTGAATCGTGTACCAATTGCAAGTTTGCCCCATTAGTGCTGGCATCTGCTTTTTTCCGTTGCCCTTCTTGTTGGTTTTGCTGTCTGCTTGTGCGTAAACTTGTTCGAGGAGCAGCTTGGCCGTTGGGCATGCGTTTTTTGGGATACGCAATGCTCCGTTTTGCTTCTGCCATTAATGTGCTCTGCATAGCTGCTGTAGCTGTAGCTGTAGTTGTAGCTGTTGCTGTCGGTCGCTTCGGCTGTTCTATTTTTGTGCCCTGCTCACACGTAGTTTCTGCCAGAATGCATCTCGTCTCCTCTTCATTCGCATCTTCTGCTTCTTCTTGTTCAAGCTTTCCTGCCTCCTCTTCGTGTTGGTGCTGCCAGCCTGAACGATAATCTAACTTGCTTGCTTCAGGTTCCGAGGTCATCGCTGCTGCAAGAAAACGCTGCTCAAACTGGAATGTGGCGGTCGGATCTTTGACCATGAATAAATCTTGGCTCGTCGCAAGACTTGGAAAAGATGAAATTTTGCTCGACAAATCTGGAATAAAAACAGCTGTGCTGTGTTTTGGGAACATATTCATTGAGGAGAAAGTGCACAGAGTTGACAGGTACGGTACGGTACCGGTACGGTACCGGTACTAGCTAGTAGGTGGGATTCGATTCGGAGGGTACCGAACATCTCGTCTGTTGCAAGCCAGAAGGGGTATTTAGAGTAGGGAAGTTGTCTTTACGGGAGCCAACGATTAGGCAAATGGAAGTAAGTATCTACGGCCATGCACAACACGACATTATTCGCTCCACAGGAGTACCCTCACCCACCACTAGCTAGAGATTATAGTCATACTTTAAAAACACAACCTATTTCGGGATCCCGCTTGCATGTTTCCTCTCTGATGAAGGGGGGCAGCCCCGGTCAGTGAAGTCTTCCACCAAGGACAGTCTTAAAACTCCTGCCATCCTGGTCAATCTAGGCGTGTGGACGGCAGCGTCATTACTACCGTAACGTTGACCACGACTCGACATTGCAGTTGACTGCTTGAAGCAGATGAGCAAGAGGGTTTAGAGTAGATAATTTATCTACAGAAGCCGACCAGGGGCCAGGCTTAGAAGGAGTCGGCAGGAGCCGTCCAAGAGGAAATGAACAGAGTCAGCTCAGAATATCTTAGGCATGCAAGCATCAATCTGTGACCACTCAACTTCCGCCGTTTCTTACTGACGAGGCTTCTTACTGGCGAGGATATGACTGCAGATCCAGCCAGAGCCAATCAGAGACAGACCATGCACCCGCTACCTTGGGGATTATCACAAGTGCGTTTGATACATAGGTGGGAGAGGGTATGAAACTGGGATTTACTCTTTTCGGTTGAATGCACAGGACAGACAGCACAAGTTAACCAACCATCCCGTTGGCAGCAGCACACAACGATTCTCGCAAAGCCAAACCATTTGGCCCCCGTAATGGTCCTCACTTTCTTGCCCCTGATCCCACCAACCTAGTCCAGAATTTCGACTGTTCTTTGCTTAAGCCTGGCCCAGGCTGGCTTCCGTAGATAATTTCCCTACACTCTAACCCCCCCCCCCTAATTAGAAGCGCTGCTGAAGCTGCTGCTTTGGTGTGATGTGGTCATGATTTGATTTCTCCTTTGCCCTGCGAGTAACGGCGTAACGGCATCTATCAAAGTGGCCACCAAAGCGAATCGAATCCAAAGAATTAAATGAATACACAGTGCAATAACAAACAATGTCTTGGTGACTGTGACCCTGAGACTGGCATAACCGGTACGGGATCTTTTGCAGAACAGGCAATTTGGCTTGGCTGTCACTCATTTTTTAGCAGTGGCACTCCAGCTAAAGCTACTGGTGATGAGAGTACCGTACCGGGAGCCACCCCCTCGTCTTAATAGCTTTCGAGGGATTGGCGTCAGTACCCCAGCCATGCTACTGGAGATACCCGAAATGTGTGGAAGGTGCCAGTGCTTTCGTTCTAGACAAACAACTGCGCCTGGTTGGAAGCACTTGCTGCTACCGTGTCGTCGCTATCTTTCGAGCCTCTTTTGAAGCCGAGCCCCTCGATTGAGGGCTCGAGTTGAGCTCGAGTTCTGAGCCTCTTTCCACGGCAACCTCGCGCTTGCCACAGCGGCTCAGGTTTTGGAGTGAATGACCTTGAAAATTTCAACTACCAGTAAATCGTCGTAGTCCTGGTAGCTCCTGGTACACTACGGTGCTACTACGATATTGCACCAGACTGTACCTCCTTGAATCTTTTGAGTAAATTGCGAATGGTGCTGTTGGAAGCCAATGGTGGCCATGGTGCTGCCAAGCCTCTTGCGCAAAAGTATGGCGGGAAGTTCCACAAAAGGAAAGACAAAGTACCGGTACCTCTGGACCTTCATTACAGCGAGGACGTCAAGGATCATACATCCGTCGCCGATGACAGAAGCATAGCGACCGTTCCAGTCTCAGAAAAAATGCATGATCAACAAAACACACGAACGTGCTACGCTCAGGCGTGTGCCACGGCCATCCGAGCCGTCGAAGGACGAATCATTGGGCGGACACCCGAGCCACACGACAAGCTCGTCAAGAGGATTATCGACAAGTTCCAACTGCCTGGAGGAGATGGCAAGACAGCTGAAGTGTTAGACTTCTTCTGCGAGGAAAAGGACTTCGGATGGAGTCCTCTAGCCTCTGCGGATGAGGTTCTGGAACCATTGAGAGCTCGTCGTGTAGTTGTGGCCAGCTTTAGGCTTCCAGGCTTCCAGTGGACAATCTTTTCTCGATTCTTTCGGGGAAATCCAAAAGGAGTGCTCCAGAAGAAGCACTTTGAACAAGTCAATAGACCAAAGGATTTTTCACCTGAGCTTCACAAAGATGAGGGCCACGCAGTCGTGATTACTGGATTCCACAGTGCGTTGGAGGCAGGATTACATTCAAGTGCAAGAATAGTTGGGGGACAGACTTTGCTGACTGCGGCTATTTCTATGTTGAAGCGGATGCTTTCCCCAAAGGATTCTATCGCTTTCGTGACGTTTTCTTCACGGCTAGCAAACTCCTTCAGGAGGACGTTTTGAACTTTTTGCATCATACACTGCGACAAGATTCTTCAGTCCTTGAGTTCAAGTGTTTACATAATGGAGGAGATCCGCTGTTTGTTATCCGCCGCGACAACATAGTGTTTCTGAAGTTTTCCCAGGATGGCCGAGCACGTCCACCTACAGGGACTACTCTTTTGTACAACGTGTTAGTTGCTCTAAGCTCTCTTCTAGTTTACTGTTGCTATTGAGATACTACTGAAAAAGTGGGTGGGTTACCAGTTTTGCTACTGGCATCAAATTCTAGTACAGAGGTACAAGTTGAATCCCTAATCGCGAATCCCCAACACACTCCTGTGGTCGTCGAGCTTGTCCTAGTCGTCGACCATGCTTACTTACTTACTGCGCTTAGCGCTCCTTCTTTGAACGGACCTTCTTGTCCGTCCGTGACCCTCCTTCTGAGTGCCCTGGTCTGAGTGTTCCACAACACCCATAACTTGTCCACGTTCTGTTGGAACAGTCGACTTTGTTTCGGCTTCGTCCAGAAGTCCGCAACCATATCATCAGTTGGACACCAGTCCACACTGATCTCCTTCTTTGCGACTCTGTGCTCACAAAGAAGTACCTAATGTTGATGTGCTTTCGTTCGTTACTACTAGAAGCTTTGCCGTTCTTCTCTAAAGAATGGCACTCTTGTTGTCTGATAGACTATAGTTTCTTTAACTACATAGCCTTGCTCCCGAGGGAACTGCCTCGTCCAAAGGATCGATGGCATCAGGTCATCAACTGCTACGAGTTCACTCTCAGTTGAGCTTCTCGTGTTCACTTCTGTTTCGTCGAAGTCGATAATGGGTAACCGGTGCCCATGGTCAAACCACCTCCGGTATGACCCCTCATGTTTGGATGGACTCCGAAGGAACCATCAAATACCATTTCAATATGCCAGCTCCGTCGTCTTTGAGAACTAATGTGTGTTTATTAGTAAATGCTAATGTACTGCTGAGGTGGACTATTATCCCAATCGTGCCTATCTTGGTTCCTTGATCTCTAGTCGTAAGGAACGATATCGCCGTACCTGTGTCTGTCGGGCTTCTTCGTAGCGAAATAACACTTTAGCCACCGGCTGTGAAAGGTGTCTGCCTGTGCTCGTTGGGAGCTTCTTGACAGGATTCGTCTACTATGAATAGATCTTTCGGGGCTGCACTACTTCTACTTTTCGTGCCCCCTTCCTCTGGCGATGCCTTCTGAAGGCTTCAGGATTTCATCAACGTACTTGTACATTGATGACGTTGCATTGACCCTTCGTCGTGAAGTCCTATGGTCATGCCAAGATACGTGTGGACCTTTCCTGGCTCACCGTCATCTCTCCAGTGCCGTCCTCGAATAAGCTTTCGTATTCATCACGAAAGCACTTGGATCACTGGTCGTTAACCTTCGATCCTTGTGGCTAGGCTTACAGTCGTCTACATGCCAGCAGCATGTCTGTTGCTTGCCGTGTCCATTCTGTTGGCTACACAGGATCGTAGAGGATTAATCTTAAATCTCGTTCCGGACATCGTCTTTCGGAACTTACGGTAGTATAGTAGGCTAGCTACCATGAGTGCCGTAGATGGCTATTCAAGCATTGCAGTAGCAAATCTGCTTGTTGCCATTTCTTGATCGTTGTTACGGAACGGTTTGTAGACATCTGGGCATATTTCACACAGCATGTCTACTAATACTACTCTTACTCTATGATTACCATATCTTTTTCCCATTTCCTCGACTTTTGTCTGATGAAGGCGTTCGGGATATCAATTACTGCAACATCCTTTCCTCTTCAACGTCGATATATGCAGGATAGTACACTGCTTCTGTCGAACTGTTGGCGAGATGCGTCCTTCCTTGGAGATGAAGTCACGCTGTTTGTTTCCTCCTGCAACCGCTCGGCCTTTGATCTTCCCGTTCCTTTTCAACTTTAGGAACAGTGTTGACTCTAGGATACTCTTCGTTCCATATCGCTGAGTTCTTACCATTTTCTTCGGACGGAAGGTATCCCTGAGATATGTAACTGTTTCATCTCGGCAAAGGCTGCATCGTGCGCTTTGTTCCTTCCATCCTTGAGTCTAGCCTTCAATGACAACTGTGTATGATGGCTGCTACACAATCAGGTTCTTCTTCTACCTAGTGTAGAACATGTGTGCATCTGGGTGCAAGACACGTTACATTGTATGGACGTTTGGCTGTCTCATACTTCTTTCCATAAAAGCTGGGAATATACGATTCCTTGGTTGTGTCCTCAACTCTACTAGACCTGCGCACTCCTGCCGTCTGCTCAGGTGCCGCTGGGTTTCAACACCCACTCATGGGATCTGTTCCAGGGGACTGTTGGTCTCGTAGAGGGTTCCGGTTCC